TTATATATATATATATATATATATATATATATATATACTCTTTTTCAGATTCTTTTCCATTAAAGGTTTTTACATAATGTGGAGTATAGTTCCCTGTGCTGTACAGTAGATCCTTGTTGGTTATCTATTTTATGCATAAGCTACTATTTAGATGCAGCTCCTTACCTGGTGATAATAGATGATGGTATGGGAACTGCAGCATGCGGGCACGGTGGGAGGATAGGGGTGTGTCTCCTTAGGATTCCCTTCATCCCACATTAGGCTTTATATTCAAACAAAATGAAATTGTAATTCACTACTGCTCATCAACCATCCCTGCCCCAGGTTGCCAAAACTAAAAGTGTCATCCTCCCTGCCTCCCAGCCCGGAACATGTTTACACAAAGGCAGTTCTCATTTTGCACAGAACTGTGTTAATTGAACCATGTGTATATTGTGATTGTGTCCTCTTTGATTTACGTGGTTCTGTGCGTGGCTCCAATATGCACATTTTGGTTAACATGGCACCACACAACACAAGAACAGCAGGTAGATACCAAAAATGATGAGTTTTAGGGGTTCCAGGAATAAATTGCCATTATCATAATTTATTGAACCAAGACAGTGCAAAGGACATGGCCACTCTGAATAAAACCATATGTGTGAAAATCCTTTCTACAAAGTGAATATAGTGGTTTGAAGAATTTTATTTCCCATTTTCAAAGAGGAATAAAAACAGGCAGCTACTATTTGACTAAATAAAAAATTACTTGTCTGGGGGCTTCCCTGGTGGCGCAGTGGTTAAGAATCCACCTGCCAATGCAGAGGACACGGGTTCAAGCCCTGGTCTGGGAAGATCCCGCATGCCTCGGAGCAACTAAGCCCGTGAGCCACAACTACTGAGCCCTCGTGTCACAACTACTGAAACCCGTGAGCCTAGAGCCTATCCTGCACAAGAGAAGCCACAACAATGAGAAGCCCGCGCACCGCAATGAAGAGTAGCCCCCGCTCGCTGCAACTAGAGAAAGCCCGTGCGCAGCAACGAAGACCCCAGGCAGACAAAGATAAATAATAAATAAAATAAATAAATTTAAAAGAAAATTACTTGTCCGTAGATGGGGTTATAGCAAAAACTAGTAATATCTCAATTACATTAATGCTAATGAACCATGTTGTAAAGTCTGGGTCTCAAATTTTCAATGATGTTTTTTCATTAGCTACAATGGACTTATATACCTGACTTACACAAGTAGAATTAATAGACTTCACAGGAGAGGTCATTAAATAACCAAGTCTCTATCTAAATTGCCTCCTTGCCTGTTATTGATCCAGAGATGGGAATTTGAACCTTGTTCTGATGCCTGAGTCCAGGGAGATTACAAACATGGCGGCAGCTGTAGTGCTGCATTCCCTGGAGCTTGAGATTCAAGCGAATTTGGTGGTGGTGGAAAACACAGTAGAAACTCAAACAGCTGCTGTTGCTTGTGTGGCTACTGCCAAGTCAGAGCCAATTTGACTTTGGGAAGTATGAACTCTAGTCAGAGCAAGGCAGTAACTTGAATTGAATAGAACCCCTTAAACCTCACTGTATTCACTAATTCATGTGTATTGAAGATCAAATCATAATCCCCCACGTTCATCAATTAAATGCCTAAGCGTGTTTCTGTTTTGTTATTACATGTACAGCATGTGGTGCTGTCCCGGGGCCCCTCAGCCCTAAATATAGTAATCCGTAAAGTGATCTAATACCTATGCTGGACCTCTGCTTCAAAATATACCTGTAAATTGGGCCCCTTTCAGTGTACAGTGTATGATCATGACTTAATGCACCAGAAAAATTCATTTCTACTGATGTGTTGACAAGTGAATTATCCTTTCTACGTAATATAGATAATAAATTCTTAAGAGAATGTGGATTATTGCCTACATCTCATCGCTGTTAATAAAAGAAATATCTGTAAACATATATCCTCTATTGGTGAGTCAGTAGTATTACCTCATATGAAGAGCAGCATTATGAATTTAAGTAGGAAATACTGAAATATTAAACTATTTTTAGATTAAAATTGGTATACATTTAAAGTATAATGGGAATGTAGAGAGTAATATTTATCTCCTCTACACATATGCATACATATATGCCAATATATATTACTAAGGGTGCAATATATTCTTTATTCCTAAAGGTGGAAATGTCCATTCAGAAAATCAGCCCAGTAATTTCTAATGCAATGGATGTCGGTTCCAGCCTTTCTGAATCAGAGAAGATTTTGAGTACATATCTGGAACTAGATAAACAAGCTAAGGTAAATAAAATGAGTTATTATTATGGTTATGGTTTTGTAAATATGATTTTTCTTTATTTTCAGTAGCTATAAAACTTAATCCTAACTCCCTTGAGGGCTGCAATTCTAAATTAGTCTTCTGGCAGATAATGACTTAAAAACGGCTACCATTATGTGTATCTAAAGTATATTTACAGGTGCATTTATTAGGGCGTTTGAGCTCACGGAAGCTCAGCATTATAGCCTGGTGCTAAACACTCATTTGGCCCTCTTTCCTAGCCTAGGAGATGTTAGCAGCTCCTTGAGGCCGGGAGAGCGCCTCTTCAAGGCTGTTTGTGATTTTCTGCTAGAGTAAGTTGCAAGAGAAAATTACCAAGAGCAACATGCATCAGTGCTAGATTCCAGGAGGCAAAAAAATCACAATGTTGTTTGCACACCCAATGTTTAGAGACAGAAACTGCCCCCTCCTCTGCCTGGCACCTTCTCTAGCACCCTCTCACCCCTTTCACATGGGACTTAGGTTCAGACATTCCTGCTAGCAGCTCCAAACCTTCATGAAGTCCCTGCCTGCCCCAGCAGGTGGTTAGGAAGGTGAGGCAAGTGCCCAGGTCTCTAGGAAACAGCCTCGCTATTCAATCATTTCTTTTTTTTTAATTTAATTTTTATTTTATATTGAGCTACAGTTGATTTACAGTGTTGTGTTAGTTTCAGGTATACAGCAAAGTGATTCAGTTATACATATACATATATCCATTCTTTCTCAGATTCTTTTTCCATATAGGTATTACAGAGTATTGAGTAGAATTCCCTGTGCTCTACAGTAGGTCCTTCTTGATTATCTATTTTATATATAGTAGTGCATATATGTTAATCCAAAACTCCTAATTTATCCAAGAGTCTCCTTCACAGACAGCACTGCCACCTGAAACTCACAGATGGACAATTATTAATGGGCTGTTTTTAATTCATTTTTTAAAATGTCTAAAATGAAATGCATGCCTGAACTCAAGTTCATTTTTTTAAAAAAGAAAGCCTCATATATTTTATTTAGAGAAGTACTTTTTTCTTTTTTTATAAATTTCTTTCTTTATTTATTTTTGGCTGCGTTGGGTCTTCGTTGTTGTGCACGGGCTTTCTCTAGTTGCAGTGGGCGGAGGCTACTCTTCGTTGCGGTGCGTGGGCCTCTCATTGCGGTGGCTTCTTTGTTGCAGGGCACGGGCTCTAGGAGCAAGGGCTTCAGTAGTTGTGGCATGCAGGCTCAGTAGTTGTGGCTCGAGGGCTCTAGAGCGCAGGCTCAGTAGTTGTGGCGCACGGGCTTAGTTGCTCTGTGGCATGTGGAATCTTCCCGGACCAGGGATCAAACCCGTGTCCCCTGCATTGGCAGGCAGATTCTTAACCACTGCGCCACAGGGAAGTCCCTTCATTTTTTTATTTAAAAAATTTTAGAGGGAAGGAGGAAATTTCAAGGGGAGAAACTCCTCCACTTCCTCCTTCTAGAGGGTTCTCTGGCAGCAGCTCCTGTAAATTAAAATTACCTCCATTCAGTAGAGTACCTGGGAAGCATATTAAATACAAGTAGGAGAGCAATCCCTCCTTGCTCTAAATGAGAGTGGAGCGTCTGTCTTTCATGTTTGCTTAAATCCTAGCTTGGTCTCACGTGAAATTTTACACAGCTCTGCGGCAGTTGTGTAAATAGTGCCTACAATACCTACTCGTCCATTGAATCAGTGGTTAGATTTCACGTGCCAAAAATTGCACTCAAAAGAAGACATAGGAGAGCAACCCTAGCAAGTCAAATTCACTGACTCTTTAGGTTATTCACACCTAATCTGTACCATTTTCCCTACACTTATTTAAAAACTGTTGTAGATGGAGACTTTAAGAAGACTGCATACTTGATATGGCATTTTTTTGTAAATTAAAAAATGAGTGAACAATTTCTATAAACTTGTCATCTCTCATATAACAAAATTAGTTTAAGAATTTTCTAGAGCTACTGGTAAATTTCATAAAGCAATCATCATGTATAATTATTTTATTTAAATTATTTTAAACATTTCTGCCAATGTGTTTTACAACCTTTCTTACTAAACAAACTTTCTTCTATTTGTGACACAGAAAATAGAATGTTCTAAATAAGACGTATAGGTGATAGACTGAAAGAATAATTTGAGGTAGTTTTCATTTTAAGGTGCCTTTTTTTTTCAAATTTTAAAATATGTGCCTTTTTCATTGAGGAGAGTTTTGGTACAAGTTCAATTAATAATTGTAATAGATGGCTGTACAGAAGGTATTGGAATGTGAGTGTTCATGATTCCTCTGTCAGCTTCTGACCTCCTGTGCCTTGTTTTTATAGGAGACATCACATGAATCAGAAGCAGCTGCAAAACTCTTGACAGAGAAAAATGATTTTGAACCTGATGAAGTGGCATCGCTTTCTTCTAAAGCTAAGTGGCTAGAGGAAGAATTAAACATACTTGGCCAAAGCCTCAGCTCCAGGTCACAAGTCCTGCAAACTTATGTGGCATTTCTAAAGTCATCAGAGGAGGTACGGTACCTATGGGCTGACCTCTTTGACAGAATGGCCTCTGCCCATCTTCCTGCTTTCTAAGGGGATAGAACCCTCGTGGATCGTTCCAGATCCTCCACCCCAGTGCACATACTCACTTATAGCTCCTTTATTCTCCAAGGCACCATACACAGGCTCAAAGAGTAAGTTATTTTACTAAAAACATAATACAAGTGTGTATGTGTAGATACAGACAAATAAGCAAAGTGGCTGTGTTGAAACCCTTTTTACTATGGCCTACAAATAAATATATATATATATATATATATATATATATATATTTTTTTTTTTTTTTTTTTTTTGCGGTATGCGGACCTCTCACTGTTGTGGCCTCTCCCACTGCAGAGAACAGGCTCCGGACGCGCAGGCTCAGCGGCCATGGCTCACGGGGCCCAGCCGCTCCGCGGCATGTGGGATCTTCCCAGACCGGGGCACGAACCCGTGTCCCCTGCATCAGCAGGCGGACTCTCAACCACTGCGCTACCAGGGAAGCCCCTGGCCTACCAATATTTACAATATCCTAAACATAAAACAAAATTATTTAAAAATAAGTCATTTTCTATTTAAAAATAAGTCATGAATCTCTTTGAATACTTAAGCAATTCGTGTGATTTGTTTAAAATCCACACAATTGGAAGTTATAGGCTGTTGGGTCCCGTCTCAGATCTGTCTTGTTTGATGCTTTTAATAGTTTTCCTCTGAGAGCTTTTTCTGAGGCATTGTTTTGACTGGTTTGTACTAAATAATCTGTAAAATTCCCTCTGGTAGACTAGAATTCCATCTCTCAAAGGTCCCAGGTTCTTGAAGGTGACATCAGTCATAGCAAAGCACTTGAGTCCCAGCTCATTTAACTCTGGTCCTAACGCTCCCAGGCGCGCGTGGTTCACTCTCCTTTCAGGGAGGGGCTGCTGGTTGAGTGGGAGGTAGAGCCATCAAGGCTCACTCAGGGGTAAAGCCAACCCAAGTTAGGTAGCATCCTCCCGCCACCCTCCCAATACTCTCACCCTTACCTCGCACGACCACATCCTGCCTGCCCACATTCCTCTGCCAGCTCTCGTTCTCTAAGAGTCTTGAGTTCTCACCACTCTGGAGGAAGGCCACGCACAGGCCCTGGAAATCTCAGGGAACCACTGCCTCCTTTTCCACATCTTTCTTTATTCTGGATTTTTAAAATTTTTTCTTATCCTGGAACTCTCAGGGTTAGGCAGAGATATTATAGCCAACAGGTTGTTCTATCAATGAACACTTTTTTTAAAAAAGAAAGAATCTTTTTTTTTTAATCTGGTTTATTTATTTGTGGCTGTGTTGGGTCTGCATTACTGCACATGGGCTTTCTCTAGTTGCAGTGAGCGGGGGCTACTCTTCATTGCAGTGTGCGGGCTTCTCATTGCGGTGGCTTCTCTTGTTGCAGAGCACGGGCTCTAGGTACGCGGGCTTCAGTAGTTGTGGCATGCGGGCTCAGTAGTTGTGGCTCACAGGCTCTAGAGTGCAGGCTCAGTAGTTGTGGCGCACGGGCTTAGTTGCTCTGTGGCATGTGGGATCTTCCTGGACCAGGGCTCGAACCCGTGTCCCCTGCCTTGGCAGGTGGCTGCTTAACCACTGCGCCACCAGGGAAGTCCCTCGATGAACATTTTTGTCTCAACTTGAAATGGTGGAGAGGGTACAAAGTAGTGCTTGGTTTTCTGCATCTTCATTGCCAAAAATGTACCTTCTTAGCTTCTAGCTCAGCGCCTACTTCCATGGCCCCCTCTGGCCTCTGGGACCAGGAGTTTTGGGACTAGGGCTGGAACCTTAGCTTTGCAAACAGAGCTTTCCCAAGAAGGACCTCATGTCCTTTCATCTTCCCAGCTTTCACTTAATCTATTTTCTTACCTGGCAGAGCCTTGTGTCCTCACCTCGGCAGTGCTCTCAGTCTGTCAATCTCCTACACCTTCAGGCTTTCTCTCTTTTCTCACCAGCTTGTGCTTATTCAATTCCATTCCATTCCATTCCCCATGTCCTCAACTCCCTGCCTTCTACCCTGACTTGCCAGCTCCCAATACTAGATCACTCCAACACTCTGTTTACTCAGCTTCTCTTTCCAAGCTTCCAGACGCTCCTGTGGAAAATCATACAATTGTGCTTATTGGTGCTCTTACAAATTTATGGGTCTTTGGCTCAGCTGAGCCCCCCATATGCTCTCTAGTTGGTGCCCATTCAGTAGTGAGTCGCAAACTTCTTACTGCAGTTTCCATTCCTAAATGTCAGCTTATGCCCTTACCTTGTATGTGACTGAAAAACATGAGTCCATTGAGCTTAACTGCCTTGACTTCCTTCAGCTTCCAAACCCACTGACATATTCACCCTTCCTCCACTGTCACCAATAAAGTGGAGCTTCTGCATGTGTGCTGCAGTAATCAGCCATCAGTCCCTCCCTGTCTGCTCCTACATCCTCCAGAATCTGGCTTCAGCATCCATCCTCTAATTTTAAAAATTTGCTTTTTCTGTTGCTTCCTTCTCTTTGGTCTACAGTTCTGCCCAAATAGTCTTGCCCTCACTGAGGCTACCACTCTGTAATTTTCCTTCCATTCACAACTGGACTCTTGGGATGGGAAGATGACATTTCTTTCCTCTTCTTCCTGATCCTCCCTAATCCTCATCCCACTGCCATTTGGTTTATCCCCTTTTCCATCCTGCCGTTTGCACCTCTTCACTCCATTCTTATGAGCTTATACTTACCACTTACCAGTTGACAGGTGAAATGGTCCATCTTTATCCCACTTAATCCCTCTGCTGTATTTATTTAACCCAGTTACTCACATTCACCTCCTTTGACTTTAAACAGATTTATTGAGGTATAATTTACGTAGCATAAAATTCGCCTATTTTAGGATTAATGATTTTTGGTATATTTATAGAGTTGTGTAACCATCACTGCACTCCAGTTTTGGTATATTTCCATCACCCCAGAAAGAGGCCTGGGGTATACTTTTCACCAATCCTGGTTTCCACCACCCCTCCCCCCTGCCCCCAGCCTCAGGCAAGCACTGCTCTGCTTTCTGTCCCTATAGATTTGCCTTATTTGGATATTTCACATAAGTGAAATTAGCCTGTCTACTTCTTTATCTGTTCTTTTTCCTGATTCAGTTCTCTGTTCCTAAAGTGTGGTGGGTTACAGAGTTCTTGCCTGTGCTCCCTTTTTTGTACATTCTATACATGTTCCCTACAAAAATCACCCACCCTCCCACAAATACACCTATAGTTTCAATTTCCCAGTAACTCAAAACTGGTTCCTCAACCCCAGCTCTTCTGAGCTCCAGGCCAATGCTTTCAACTTCCAATCATACTAATTACCTATGTATTCTGTAGCTTCCTGAAGCTCAACAAAACGCAACTGGTTATCTTTTCCTCAAACGTGTTTCCTTCTGTATTTTGGCATTGGATTAATGACCCCACTGTCTTTCAGAAGTCCTATGTAGAAGCTCAAAGTCTGTTCCGATCCCTTTCTTAATGAGCAGTTATTTTTGTACTAGGCCCTGAACTTTTCATTCCTGATCTCATTTCATCCTTATAATATCCCTATGTTTATTTACTATTATCCCTACTTTGCAAATGAGGAAAACTGAGGCTCTGAGAAGTTAGGTATGTAAGACCAAACAGGTAGTAAACATCAGAGCTGAAGTTTAATTCCCAATTTCCTCCCTTTTGTTTTTTCAAACATCAGAGGCCATGCTAGGGGCTTCCCTGGTGGTGCAGTGTTTGAGAATCTGCCTGCTAATGCAGGGGACACGGGTTCGAGCCCTGGTCTGGGAGGATCCCACATGCTGTGGAGCAACTGGGCCTGTGAGACACAACTACTGAGCCTGCACGTCTGGAGTCTGTGCTCCGCAAAAAGAGAGGCCGCGACTGTGAGAGGCCCGCGCACCGTGATGAAGAGTGGCCCCCGCTTGCCACAACTAGAGAAAGCCCTCGCACAGAAACGAAGACCCAACACAACAAAAATAAATAAATTAATTAATAAACTCCTACCCCCAACATCTAAAAAAAAAAAAAAAAAAAAACGCCATGCTATCCCATGTCTGTCTTTAGAGACAGCCTAAGAGATTTCTGAATTCCCCTTTTCATTTGTACCATCACCTTCTCGGTTTAGGTCCCCATCATCCCTTGCCCAGCTTAAAGAAATTGTATCTGCCTGTTCTCTCTGCCTCCTGTAATTCTCCCCTTTATGCCTTTCAGAAAATGGTCATTCTAAAGCAAATCTGATCATGTCACTTCCTGAAATTCAGGTTATATGACAAATGTAATTTATGAAGCAAGTTATAACTTTTACCCCAAAATGGGTAATGTATTAAAGTTGATCATTAATTCACTTAAAAAAAGAAACTAGTCCAGATTCAAGGAAATCCCTATAATGACATCATGCTCACTTACATTCAAGGAGGCTTTTTTGAGCAGTTGGAAAAGGAGGATGAATTAAAGTTTATGTTTTAAGAATTTCACTTAACCGACAGCCCATGATATTGACACCCCCGCCTGTAGCATACTATCCCATTGAAGTACTTGATGGCTGTCATGCCAATTCCGAGTCATTGTGATAGCTGTCAGTTGTTTCAAACTAACGGGAGTGTGTCACAGTTTGTTGAGTATAGTAGCAAACAAGTTGAAACCTACTGACGGCTTTATGCCAACACAATGATCACTCTCACTTCTTTCTTACCACTCAGGTTGTGCTATCTGGACGTCACCCACACCAAGATCATTTATCGTGCTCTGAACCAGCCAGTGTTTCACACTTGTGCCTTCACACATGTTATTCCTTCCATCTGGGGCCCCCTTCTCCTGTTCCCTCTCACCCTGGACAATTCTGAAAGACACAGATCAAATGTCGCTTCCTTTGGGAAATTCTTGCCTGTTTACTTTATGTAGAGCTGGTGGTCCCTCCTCAGTGTGCCCAGAACACTGTGGGCATACTTGCCTTTGTGTTGTAATAATCTGTTTATGGTTCTCTTTCTCCCAGAATTATCTTTGGGAACCCAATGAAATAACTGCTAAATTCTTACTACGGAATCTTAGGAGACTCCATGGAGGAGGTAGTATTTTAACTGTCTCATGATGGATTATGTAGGAGCAGAAAATTGAGGAAAGATTATCCAGGGCTGAGGAAACAAGTATCAGGAAAACAGTCATGAATAAATGGACTATGGAAAAAGAGGAGACAACTTCTGTTTCTAAGTGCCCTTTGCAGCGCTCATTAAATTAAGAATGATATTGAAATCTTGAAAATATAGTGACTAACCATTGCCTGAAATTTCTTATCCCATTTATATTGCTTTCAGTAGTTATGAGCTCTTTGAGTCTTATCCTATTGGCCATTAAGTATTATTCAAAATGCATAAAAACTTGTGTCAAAAATTTTCTACCGTTTCTACAATACCCAGTTAAATGATCTGGTTCTGCAGGCACATCTGATTTTATATAAGCTCTGTCCAAAGAGAGTGATTTAAAATAATCTAGTATTGCTTACCTTGGTTAGCCAATGAGAAAATATAATTCTAGGGAGGTGAAGTAATGAACCTCAGTAAGATTTGCTCATGGAGGCAGTTTAATATTAATACATGTACAGAAAATTCATAATTATTTGTACTCTTTTGTTCTGGTTTATCACTGATGAGAAGCAAATTGTGATTTGCTAATTATGAATAACTTTCCACTGACTTACATTTCTTTCTGATTTGTATTCCTTGATTGTATATGTTTATCTTTCTCCTGAATTATAAAACTCAGCTTTAAATGGAACCACATTGGTCTTTGACATAAGCTGTCTCCAATTGCAAAACATACACCTATATAATACATAAATATGATTTTGGCTACAGTAAATAGGGCTTCTGGATAATAAACTTGTCAGGTCAAGTTACTACCCAGTAGCAGTCAGTCTGATCTGTCAACAACCTGAATAGATTTTCATGTCTTTTCAGTAAGTTGACAATATTTAATAATTATTTAAAGAATTCTGAAATGTAGGTTCCAATTAAGTTTTATATAGGCTTTTATTGGAATCTAGTATTTTTCTCTTTAAAAATGTTTTTAAGTGTTCTTAACTTTCATTTATATTCTTTTTTTTTTTTTAAGGTAGAGGAGCAATGTCAGGGCCTAAGGGAGTTTTACCAAACTGATATCCTGCGAAAGGAAGAGGGTGTTGCTGAAGCTGAGCGTCTCTCTGACTCAGTGGAGAAGCAGTGGCAGCTGTTTTTAAAGAGGAGCTTTTTAACTCAAGACCTCGGGCTCAAGTTCCTTAATTTAATAAATATGGTGAGAATAACATTAAATGAGTCACACCTTCTTCAGGGATCACTTTTCAAAGTCAGAATCATAAATTTAAAAGTTCAGTTGTCTGTTATTCAGCTGTGCTAGTTTAGGAAGTTCTTTTTAGCTCCATTCAACCTAGAATAGTCCTGAAGCCCAGCATTTATGTGCTTCTTTGCTCCTAGACCTCTTGTGAGTTTATCACATGAAGGCTAGTTTATCTATTAACAAGAAAGAGTGACTATAATCCAAATATAACATTATTATTATTACATAGAGTCCTCAGAAGATCACCCAGAAGTTCTGAGTTATGTTGAAAGCATGCAACAAGATCCTTACAAGATTTCCAGAGGCGAAAGATAACATCTAGGATGAATCTTCATTTCAAAGAATTTCTTACAATACCAGATCTTTTCATAGCAAAGCTCCATTATATTTAGAAATGTACCCTAAACTTTAGTTGTTAAGTTATATCTGTAAAGTATCCTAGAATCGACCTCAGGCCCATATAAAGTTCTCCACAGAATTCTTGAAAGATGGTTAATCCACCTCTCCTTCAATATCTCAAGTATCTTCCTTACGAAACTGTTCATTTTATTGTTAGAAAATGCCAGCTGCTAGGAAAGTTTTTTATTTTTTAATGTTAAGTCGAATCTGTCTTCATATCTGAGTCTAACCCTCTGTAGCTCCACAGGGGGAAAAATGTATGCATATTTCATTTCTCTTACACACGAAAGTTTTTCAAACCTTGAAAACAGTTGCAAAATCTAATTTGAGTCTTTTCTGCAGCGAACTAGATATAAATCCTTTCTATCATTTAGGAGGTAGCTTTCTCTCTTTCTTCATCCTAATCCTTCCTCCTAGAATTTTCCATGATTTGTCAATATCATTCATAACATGTAAACAAGAAGTAAAGTACAACTTCAACACAGAGTACAAAGTGTACATCATTCTTTACTAATGAGACCTAAGGTTGTACTAGCACTTGTAGCAATAATTTCACTTTGTTGGTTCATATTAAGCCTGTGATGGAAAAACTGCAATTGCATTACATTTTTATTGCAGTTCCTGCCAGGCTAGCTCTCTCCCATTTTATATCCGTGTCACCTATTTATCTTTCACATACAAATATGAACCTTTATATTTATTCCTATTTTATATCACTTTGTTAGTTTTAACTCATGATTCCATCTTGTTAAACTAATTTGGAGCCTGCTATCTATTGCATTAGCCATCTCTCCTGGGTTTAATTCTGTATATTAATAAGTAAGTCTCTTGTGGCTGCAATTAGATCTTTAATAAAAGTGTCTGAGGGGCAGATTGCTACCCCAATCCATTAAGCAATCAATTGATTAACCAGTCTTTTAAACAATCGTGGACATTCCCAATAGTACTTTATTTTAACCACTTTTTCTTAAGTCTATAATGGAAGACACTGCTCGAAGGAAGGTCTATCTACCTAGTATCCTATCAATTGTATAATATAATTTGGCAAAAATTAGTTTGACTCCTAGTGATCATAGGGTTCTTTCCAAAGTGCTCACAATCTGCTTGATCAATGATGACTTTATTGCCCTGGTTTTCAATGTCAAGCTTACTGACAGGTAAATCACATAGGCCATCTTTTCCCCCATTTGAAAATCAGGGCATTTTCCTTTCTCTAATTTTCTGGTCCTTCTCCTATTTTCTGTAGATTTGCAAAGATGACTGACATCTACAATTTTCTCAGTACTCTGACATGTGATGAATCTCAGTCTGGAGCCTGAATTCATTTGGAAGAGTTGGGCTCTAACTACCCTCATCTACTTTGAGCTGCAATTTCCTCTTTATCGTCATTGTTTCAAACTTTGTTGTTCAAAGACCGGTCTTCTTAAATCTATATGGAAACAAAATATGCATTAAATAATTCTAATTTATCTAATACTATCCGTATGCATCAGAGAAAATTTGCTGAGTATTTTACCTATGTTCTTATGTTATATTGGTGCTTTACTGTTTAAAAAATTGTTATTTTTTACTTGGAACATTTAGAACATATCTGTCTATCTATCTTTAATATTTTTACTCTTTTTAAATATATCTTTATATCCATCTCTTCATTGTGTATTTCTCCAATTTGCACTCATAAGGGAGTTTACATATTTGCAAACTGCACTTTTTTTATCTATCCTTTTTCTTACTAACTTCCTTTTGAGAAATTATATTTTTCAGTTTTGGAATTTCCAGTTGGTTCTTTTTTATTAGATTTATATTGCCAGTGAAATTCTCCTTTTTTATCTTCTCTTTCTCCATCTTTCCTATACTTTCGTGACCGTATTAATCATGGGTATTTTAAAGTGTTTGTCAGCTAAGTCCAACATCTGGATCTGGAATTGTTTCTATTGTCTACTTTTTCTCTCGGTTTCCAGCTCTGTCGTCCTAGCTTGGGATGATGAGAGAATATCTATCAAATGCCAAACATTATGTATAAAAAAATTGTAGGAGTTCCAGATGGTGTTATCGTCTTTCCTTAGGTGGGTGTTGGTTGAAGATCACTTAAGCCAATCAGGAGCTGGTGGAGTTGAGTCCGGAGTACAGTCCTGTCAATGCTCCATCTATTCTGTTGACCTTGGGCTCTCAGCGTTTTCAAGTTAGAGCTTGGGGCCTTCTCTGAGGTCTCTCCCCATGGCAGGTCTCCAATTTGGGGAGTCTTGGGAGATAGCTGAAAAACTTCCACTCTGCTTTTCAGAGGCTTTTGCTTGGGTTTTTTAATCCACTGCCCTGTTCAGCCCCAGTATTTTGTCAATGTTCTGAGATGAAGATGAGCTGTGTGCTTGAACCCCCATCCCCACTAGTGTCTGTCAAAAGTTCTATTGTTTTCTCTGTTCCCCAGTAAAGCCTCACGATCAGCCTCCTGTCGGCATACAGAATTGGGAAACGCCCCTGACTGGGGTAGGAGAGGTGACAGGTGAGCTTACCGCGCTCAGGTTCGTCCTTCTCTGGAGTCTTGGCCTCTTTAGTTCTTTTTGCCTTCAAATAGATGCTTTCTGCATTTATTCCAGCTTTTCTAGTTGTTCTAGGCAGAAGCACTGCTCTGCCACTAGCTACTCCATCCTACCCAGAAACAGAAGTCCTTTATTACTTATTTAGAATGTTTAAGATTGTACAGTCAGATTTTCATTTAAGATCTGTAGCAGGAATCCATTCAAAATTATATTTTGTATCTTTGTCTAAATAAACTTAGGTTTCATGATATTCAAATGTCCATTTAGAGTTTTCAGCAACAGTGTGTATTTTACTACATACCTTGGTGGTCTTGTATCTTGACATTATAAACATGGCTACTTTACCCCAAGGTCCTTACCACTGTCATATGATAAATAAATTCCTCCTCATTGATGAGAATTAAGGTCCACATAATGCTTAACTTTATTGGTTCAGTGACATTCTGCGATATGAATGGTAAAGCCATTTGGTAAAGCCAGTATAACACAATTTTTATTCTCTTCATATCTTTGGGACCATTAGGCTTTTAAACAAGCATTATTGCTGAAGTGTGGTAACCAGTTTGGTTATTAAGAAGGAAGAAGTCCCGCTGGCATTTCCCACTGAGTGTTCTGCTCTTGATTGGGTTGCCGAGGCTCAGATTTTCAAGCTTGAAATTAAAAAAAAAGTTTCAGTGCATCTAAAAATCATCACAATCAGAAAAACTGATTTAGGGCAGAAATCTGGCAGACATCTTGATGAAAGTGCCAATTTACTAATTTATAGTGGCAAATACCAAGAATGCTACATGGAATACTGCCTTCCAGTTATCAAGATATCTGAAAAGCAAGATGTCAGAAGACCACTCATTGTGTGTGAATCTACATGGAAAATGGATAATTTAGTGCCCTGTTTAGATTATGGCAAATTTTCCAATGACCTTATACAGAAGTAGAATGAGTAGTGTGTTTACTAACTAGACCTCAGGCAAATTATTTAATCTTTCTGAGTGGCCAAAATATTTGTTTGCCAAATGCATAATCACTCTTCTTGAATCCTGCTAGCTAGGCATCAACAGATCCTACCATAGCTCTCTTTTCTGGGCTTCATTCAGAGCATATACTCTTCCGATTGTAGTTGACATTGACATGCTGCAAATTCCAAGTTTACATTAAATTGTGTATTATATAACATTTTGATTAATATTTTCTTAATAATATGTGAAAGATACCCTATCTTTATTTATAGCATAGATAAAAATATGATTTGCTTTAGGGCCTGCTGTGGCTGTCTAATGCCTTTCATAATATGTGTGTCTTGTTTATCATAATTACAGAATACATCATTTTACTACTAGATCCCCAAATTCATAGGAGAAGTCACATTTAGCACCTGCAGGTATTTTTTCAATTAAACGACACTTTATAATGTCTACATAAATATAAAAATATAAATGTGCAATATTAATGTCATTTAAAATAATTTTAAAATAAAATGGCCTGTGATTTAAAATATCCTGTTACATATTCATGGCACTATCTTCTGACTATAATCTAAAAGGTCCCGTGACTTTTAGATACCCAGCTGTCATTGCCATTGTAGAAATCCATGTGCAATTGCTCCTTAGAAATTCAAGGATTTACTGAGAAAAGCTGGCCATCAAAGTAAAAATTGCTGTTTTGCCAAACAAATATTCTTCTGCATTTTTTTGATGTTTGACATAAAAAAAGCCTATTGTCTTACTCTCTACCTCTCTTATCCTTCTGCCTCTGATTGAATTTTGAGTAGTTTAAAATCATTGTTTAAAGGATTTCAAATCAGAGATCTAGAACATATGAAAGTTGGCAAGAGAAGTCTTGGAATTTAGATATTGTTCTTCTGGTGCACAATAGAGATACAAATATAGAGATACAGTTGGCCCTCCATATCCACTGCTTCCAAATCCCTGGATTCAACCAACCTCAGAGCTAAACATAGTACACCATCCACAGTTGGTTGAAACCTGCGGATATGGAGGGCCAACCATGGGACTTGAGCATCCACTGGTTTTGGTATCCGTGGTGAGTCCTGGAACCAGTCCCTGCCTCCCACCCTGCTGCCGTGAATACCGAGGGACAACTGTATATAGAGGTACATTTCAGTTCTCACAAAACAGAGTAACTTGAGGAACTGCTCACAAGGAAAATTTTAAATAATTGTATTGAGTTGACCAAAAGGTTTGTTCGGTTTTTTCTGTAAGATGGCTCTAGTAGCACTTAGTTGTCTTTAACTTCATTTGAAACAATTTTGTTAGATTGTATATGACAGCTGTCATATGAGCGTCATTTAAAAAAATACTTATCAAAATTGGTGAATTTTTGTGTAGCCATTTTAATACTGAAGATGAAAAAAAGCAACATTTTTGGCATATTATGCTTTATTATTTCACGAAAGGTAAAAGCGCAACTGAAACGCAAAAAAAGATTTGTGCAGTGTATGGAGAAGGTGCTGTGACCGATGGAACATGGCAAAAGTGTTCTGCGAAGTTTTGTGCTGGAGATTTCTCGCTGAACGCTACACCATGGTCGGGTAGACCAGTTGAAGTTGATAGCGATCAAATCTAGACATTAGTTGAGAACAATCAACGTTATACCACATGTGAGATAGCCGACATACTCAAAATATCCAAATCAAGGGTTGAAAATCATTTGCACCAACTTGGTTATGTTAATCGTTTTGATGTTTGGGTTCCACTTAAGTTAAGTGAAAAAAACCTTCTTGACTGTATTTCCCCATGTGATTCTCTACTTAAACATAACAAAAACGTTCCATTTTTAAAACAAATTTTTACGGGTGATGAAAAGTGGATACTGTACAATAATGTGGAACAGAAGAGATCATGGGGGAAGTGAGATGAACCACACCAAAGGCTAGGCTTCATCCAGAAAAGGTGATGTTGTGTCTATGGTGGGATTGGAAGGGAGTCCTCTATTATGAGCTCCTTCTGGAAAACCAAATGATTAATTCCAACAAGTACTGCTCCCAATTAGACCAACTGAAAGCAGCACTTGACGAGAAACATCCAGAATTAGTCAACAGAAAACACATAATCTTCCATCAGGATAACACAAGACCACATGCCTCTTTGATGACCAGGCAAAAACTGTTCCAGCTTGGCTGGGAAGTTCTGATTCATCCGCCATATTCACCAGAAATTGCACCTTCGGATTTCCATTTATTTTGGTCTTTACAAAATTCTCTTAATGGAAAAAATTTCAGTTCCCTTGAAGACTGGAAAAGGCACCTGGAACAGTTCTTTGCTCAAAAAGATAAAAAGTTTTGGGAAGACGGAATTATGAAGCTGCCTGAAAAATGGCAGAAGGTAGTGGACCAAAAGGGTGAATACGTTGTTCAATAACGTTCTTGGTGAAAATGAAAAATGTGTCTTTTAGTTTTACTTAAAAACCAAAGGGACTTTTTGGCCCACCCAATATATACAATGGGATAGTTTAGAAAGAAACACAGACCCACAACAATCTGCCCCCTCATCGTCCCTGATACTCAGATATTGACATATTCTAATGTGTGTTAAAATAAAAGGTGGAATCCACTTCAAAACTTATGCATTAAAATAATCTCAACTTCAAAATTTCTGGATCCCTATGCTCATTCAGTCACCCTTTAAGCCCGAGGAAATGAACAGATCCTAAAGGAGAGGACTCAAACACCAGTGGGGTCATGAAGAGCTCGGGAGCTGACGTCCAAGCATAGATTATGGGTTCTGAGAGCCCAGCTGTGCCTGTGCACAGACTTTTCAGCCTTGTCTTGTTATCAGAACTGTGTTCTGCTTTGGCTATGATGAAGCATTTGCCTCCTCAAATAGTTGTATGCAAAATGTTCTATTTCTTGGGAAAGAAAAGCCATTATATAATTATTAATTTCACAGGCAAAAGCAAATGAAATATTAAATGTGAAAAATGAAGTACACATTATGGAGAACACTATGGAAAGCCAGAAGGCAGAAAGGGAAGAGCTCAGCCGCCTTCGGATAGCCTGGCAACTTAAAGCCGCTGCAAGCAAGCCCGTGAAACAGCGGTGGGGAGCGTTCAAAGAGCAACTTAGAAAGGTGAGGGAACAGGCAAATGGGTAGTATTCGCCTTAAAAGGGAAGGAAATTCTGACACATGCTGCAACATGGAGGGACCTTGGAAACATAAGTGAAATCAGACGAACACAAAAGGATAAATATTGTGATTCCACTTATGTGAGGAACCTCGAGTAGTCAAATTCACAGAGACAGAAAGCAGAATAGAGGATACCAGGGGCTGAGGGGAGGGTGAAATGGGAGTTAGAGTTTAACCAATACAGAGTTTCTGTTTGGGAAGATGAGAAAGTTCTGGCGATGGATAGTGGTAATGGCGAAACACCAGTATGAATGTACTAATGCCACTAAGTTGCACACTTAAAAATGGTTCAAATGGTAAATTTTGTTATGTATATCTTACCACAATAAAAAGAGGGCCTGTGCTTTTGTTCATTGGTGGTTTAGAACCACAGGCTCACTCTAGGTAGTGAGTGCTTTCATGGTAATTGAAAAGTTTGATGACACACCATGTCAGCACTGGAATGATTATGACGTATTTGCTGGTGGTATCAAAGAAAACATATGCATAACTATCTAACGTCTATTTCAGACTACTCACAACTTAAAACTTCTTCAGGAAGCACTTATGCCTGTGTCTGCACTTGACCTTGGAGGGAGTCTCCAGACCATTTTAGGTCTACAGAAAAAATGGAATGAAATGAAACCTCAGTTCCAGGTGAAGAAACAAACTGATGGCCTTGGGTGAATGAAAAAGTATTAAAAACTGTTCAGTCAATGCTCACCTAATGAATTTTTACAGTCTGATGAATTACAATTTTTAAAAAACAACAGCATTGCTTGTCTAAAAATCCACTTTAAAAACACATTTTTCTTCCTGTTTAACTGCAGTGTGCTATATTTGATGATACACAAACATTTGGGCTACAAAAAGGTCCTTAATATATTCTTATCTTAGATTATTTTAATTTAAATTAGTTCCTTATTAATGTATTTATCATATATATTTACTCTAATTCTTTTCCTAAGGGGTATAGACATGTTTTCGATTCAGACATCTCAAAACAAGGATGGGCAATCTCTGACACAGAGGTTCTGCTGTCCTCTGTCCCTGAAATTATCACTGTGATGTCATCACCCACTGGCACCCCAGGCTCCTACCACAATTCCAAGAATTTTGCTGTGCTCTCCCTTTCTCCCTCTCAGAGAGCCCTCAGAATGTGAGAGAAAAAACCATGAGTCATGTTCCCAGGCCCTGATTGCTAGTGCATTCCATACCCCCCCCACACACCTCTTGCCATTCCTGAGCTTGACACAGCTGCCGAAAAAGTTTGCCAGTCATGTTATCCTCCTATCTGGATTCGTGTTCTTTGCTGCAGAGTTAAGATACCTGTGTTTCTGTTTGTCACTACTTTGCAAGTATTGGCTTTAAAGAAACCCCGAAACAGAAGTTTGAAGATTCCTTTAGGGAATATCTAATTTATGTTCCTTTAAGACAAAACTAATGTAATACATAACCACCCCCCACTCACAAAAAGCACACACACCACTGTGGCCCACAGTGAACTCTTTCCTCCAAACTCTTAGAAAATTCTCCTAGCCTATCTGTTGGTTTCTTTGCTATACTCTGTATCATATGTATCTGCATTTCGTGTGTGCACATGTCCCTGCACATGAGTAAGTGTATGTGTGTAAATTCCTCTAAATCAGGAACTGTTGTCAAGTTTCTTTAGCTCTGTCACTGTGATGTGTGTATATTTGACGCCCACTTACTTGATTTCAACGTGAAGACCCTTACTAGGTCACTCTTCTGCAAATTATCTCCTTAGCCTAAATCATTTCCATTACTGTTATCCTTGACGTAAAATCCAGCTCTGAAATTATAGCAGCTTCCTCTTTAAGCTGTGCACCAGGATCTAGATTCCTATAAGGGCTATCTGAGCAGTTCTGGGTAAAAAGAAGGTGCCTTATCCCTCCCTACAAGTGGTGGCTATTTGTGGATTCTGGGATGACTGCTTTTAATGCAGCATAGCTACTGTGCTGCTCAGCTGGTGGTTCATTTTGATCATTCTTTTATCACAGAGGACAAATAATTCCCCCAATATATTTTTATGCTTGTCTTCTTTTGGTGTTCTTATCATACCACCTGATTCTGGTTGTATTAAATATCACAGATGGTCACAGCCTCATAGAGTATCTAGAATATATTTACTTAACAGATGACCAGAATATTTGGTATGTCATAGAAATATATGACTTTCCATTTCACCACCTAACTTTGAAACACTTTTTTGTGTTTTTAAAATTTAATTAATTTAAGTTAATTTTTAAAAAAATTCTGAGAAGATGAGGATGGAATAATATATCCCTAGCATCATGCACAATGCCTGGATTTGCAGGGATGGGGGTGAAGCTCACAATAGTATTTGTTAACAAATAAGAGAGTGATTTATTATTGAGATCTTCATATAGTCAGTTGTAAAGTAAAAAGCTCTCTAAAAGCTGTATTTCTTTTATTGCTTACAACTTTTTAGCAACTGAATGATGAGGCTCAATACATTATAAAAGAGTCAGAAGAGTTAAGTGGCAAAGGAGCCCCTGTGAAAGAGAAGTCTCAACAGCTGAAGGACCTAATTCACCTCCATCAAAACCAGAAAGAGAGAATCCAAGATTACGAGGAGATCCTGTATAAGATTGTCCAGTTCCACCAAGTCAGAGAAGAGGTAAGACTTATCATGGATGTTTAGAAGACTCTCAGTTTTAAACTATGAAATTAAAAATAAATGATTGTGTAATAAATAAAGGCCAGATTGCTTATTCTGACATTAGAAGCTTTCCTCAGTCTGGCCCCTGACTTTTCTCTCACTGGGCCCCATTCTGCCCGATGTTCCAGCCAAAGTGAGCTCTCCTTGGGTCCCTCAAAGATGGCATCCACATCCCTAATTCCAAGCCATGACTCTTGGGCTGCCATTATCTGACAGGTCCTTCTGTCTCCTCTCTACCGTCTAGGCCCTGTGTCCCTCCATCCAAAAATCTACCTCCCTTGGAGTGATTTTTCTCTCTTCAAAATTCCTCGAACTCTTATTGTTTATTCCACACATCTGTCATTTTTAACATCTTGATTCTTAATTACTTTTGTTCCCCTAACTCAAGTGTAAGCTCTTTGAGGGAAGAAAACAATTTCTTTTATATCTCAAATATCAGTAGAGTGCTCAGTAAAACTTCATAGTCCTTAGCCTCTATTAACAGAAAATGGAGACTTATTGAAATCCCTTGAAAATAGCCTCTGAATTTACTGAGATCACAGGCCTCATCTTGCTAAAGTTTTAGGCTGTGAGCAAACAGTGTTTTCTTCTTTAATAGAACTGACAGAGTTAGTCCCTCAATTTTACCCTATTGACTTGCAGCATTGTAACACTTATTTGTCTATAATACTAATAATTTTAGATGGGCTTGTCAGTGTTGGCCTGCTAGTTAAATATGTTATAGGAAAGAAGTTTTTTTTTTTAAAAAAAAGCTATCTTTGAGAAAGACAAATACTGTGTGATGTCACTTATATGTGGAATCTGAAAAATACAACAATGTAGTGAATATAACAAAAAAGAAGCAGACTCACAAATATAGAGAACTAGCGGTGACCAGTGGGGAGACGGAAGGGGGGAGGGGCAGTATGGAGGTAGGGGATTAAGAGGTACAAACTATTAGGTATAAAATAAGCTACAAGGTTATATTGTACAATTTAGGGAATATAGCCAATATTTTATAGTAACTATAAATGGAGTATAACCTTTAAAAGTTGTGAATCACTATATTGTACACCTGCCAGTTATATAATATTGTACATCAACTATACCTCAATGTAAAAAAATCTGTCTTCATAAAAATACGAAGGTTAATTGTTAATGGCCTAAATTCCAGCTGGGACGACTCTTCAGATCAAGAGAACTGGAGTTTCTACAACAGCCAAAGGAAATGGTTGATGCTCACGATGCCCAGGTTCTCCTCAGTCGCTCTCGGGAAAAGCAGGCACACATAGACCATCTCCATAAACTGGCTCTTTCCTTGGGGGTGGACATCATCGCGTCAGTTCAGCGGCCTGTAAGCAACTTAGAACACCACCATTTATACCTAATATAGCTCTCAGTTGGCCTGTAATATGAAAGAAACCAGGCACATTGCCTGGTATACGTTAAATTAAAAAATACATTAAACCATTGGGCTACTTATTTGTGGTAAGTTTCTACCACATCCAGAGAAAAACATTTTAAGGAGAAAAATCTGATTTTAAAAGCCTTGTTTGATACATCTATTCTCATGCTAATTTTTTAAAAATCATAGAGGTGTGCTATCTATAATGGCAGTTAGTTTTTCACATTTGAAATATGCCTAATGCAATTAAGGGACTCAACTTTTAATTTTATTTAACTTTAATTAATTTACATTTCAAACTGATACCCCAAACTGTAAAACTTTTAAGTATATTGGGAGCAATTTGGGTATGTGAGTCTACTAAACTCTATGAGATTTAAGTGCCGATCAAGTATTTCTGATAGAAATTTAGCAACAATTGAGATATGCTCTAAGTGTGAGATACAGACTTGATTTCAAAGACTTAATATGAAAAAAACCTTATTAATGTTTTTTAATATTTGGTTACATGTTGGGTATGTGTTCGGTTAAATAAACTATGTTATGAAAATTAATTTCAACTGTTTCTTTTTTACTTTTTAATATGGCTACTAAGAAATTTAAAATTATTTATGTGGCTCAGTTGTATTTCTATTGGACGATGCTGCGTTAGCACGTCAGATCCAAAAGGTAGCCGAGAGATCGTTAGGCCCAGGGCCCTCATTTTATAGGTGAAGAGTCTTATCCCAGAGAAGCTGCTTTATCCATAAAACCCCAGGGTAGAAAAGCTCAAGAACCCTGGCTCCACCCAGGGATCTGGGCACTCATCACTGGATCTGCTTTATTCCACTGGACTGACCTTACCAAAGGAGCCTAAAAGAGATGGAAATAATTCCAGACTAAATTTTCCTAAATAACACATTGGGCTCTGATTTTAAAAAAACTCCTTCTCCAAATTCTTAATTTGAGGGAAGAAAAGATTATGTTAATTCTATCCAGTATGTATAACATTAATAAAAATCGTAATGGCTGATTTTATTTCAAAGTTCATTTAAGATATCCACTAAAAGTTCATTTAAGATATCCACTATATGGAATTCAATGGATCTAAAGTATTTTCTTAACTGATAGACACAAATACAAAATATCTGTCTCTGTTATAACAGAATGTTTTTCCCAGGAAGGACCTTTCTTTTTAAAGAGTTTTGTTTTATTAGTAAATTTATTTTAAAAAGAAAAAAAACAAGTAAGACGTCTCACTTTGCACAAATAATGTAAATTGTTCTCCAGTCCGCATCTGGCCTTGGCCTCGGCAGCCCTCTGCGTTGAGTAGAGGTTGGAGCACTTGCATAATAAACCTGAGGTTACGCTCAAGTTGACAGGAAAATTATAGTGCAGAAGCCAAATGTTTCTAATGCATATTTTATGCCTTTTGAAGTAAAAATTATACCTTATAACGAATAGCGTCTCTGAGGCGTTGGGTGTGGTGAGCAAATCTTCAAAACTGAAGTTTCAAGACTGGAAATGTAAGGGTTTGTCTTTCCCAACATCGGGTGTTGGGTGTCTGGCTTCTTTCTGAAATCATTATATTCAAAGAAGCTTAAGGTGAAATAAATCAGGATGTCATATTTTTTGATGTCATTTATGAGTTTCACAATGCAGGTAAATAGCATGTTGTTCTCATTGCTGTTTTGCCAGTTCCCTTCATCACTTCCCCATCTCTTTCATTTTTAGAACTGCTCTAATGTTTCTGCAAAGCACCTGCAGCAGCAGCTGGACATCCTTGAGGGGGACAGTCTGAACTGGCGTGCCCAGGCTGAAGACCACGAGCGGGCCCTGACCCGCAGCCTGGAGTTCTGTACCGCAAGGGATGAGATGAGCGAGGTGAGAACGCACACACACACACACACACGCACACGCACACGCACACGCGCACACACACACACGCACAGTGAATCAGGAGACTTTCTTTTTACCCTTGACCTTTAATCTGCATAGCAATGGCCTCAGGGCTCAGAAAGATTGAGTAAACTTTAAGCTCCCAAACTTTTTGAGGTCAGTATATTGTCAACACATGGAAGAACCTAGAATGTAGCATTAGGGTTTATTGTTTGCTCCTCCCCAACCCACCCCAAACCCTCACAGCAGTTGTTTTGCTTGAGTGGATACACATCATCAGTGCAGAGTGATAGCATCCCGGTTCAGCCAGCTCCCGTCTGCGGAGATGCTATTTAAGTACCATTGACTCATGATGAAGGGGGTGCTAAGGGGAGCAGGCTTGTTGCTTCAGAGGCTACAAAGTATTATCACCAAAGTCAAGTGGCTGGTTTCATATTTACTCAAACTGAGTGACTTCTCTGGCAAAACAACGCCTAGACTCCATGCCCCCTCCTCCATACACAGTTAATTCCACCTCCTCTTCCTCAATTCTACCCAACCCCCAACCCCCAGACACATGCTGAACTTGAGCCACATCCTCCCAGGGTAAACTTTCCATCTAAAGGTTTACTTGTTCTAGGAGGAAAATATAGCTTAGCGAGGGTCCTGGTTCCTTACTGGAACTGACAGCAGAACAAAAGGTACCACAATTCCAGATTTATCTCTGTTTAGAGCAAGACGTTTCTAAGTTCATTAATCACAAACCCATTAGGAAAGTGAGCGGAGGGAAAAAGATGTGGTGAACCACCTTGATTTTTCTGTTTATGCCCTCTTTACACAGTTTAGGACCAGTGAGTATCGAAGATTATCAAACAACATTAGAGCATGGACTTAAGTATGAGTAACTAAACTTAGCAAGTGGTCTAGCCCTTTCATAGCCCACAGAGAAGTGCAGGAAAGGAGCATGGCTGGAAGGAAAGCAAGAGGGCGAGAGCAGGAGGGGCCGCTTGGATCCCATTCAGTGGGAGGGAAACAGGAAGCAGCATCATGGAGGGTTTTCAGTTGAGTGTGCCACAGGACTGTAGAGTTTCTGCTCTGAGTCTGTGTTTCAGGAGTCACTGTGGGCAAGACACTCATTAATTCGCTCAGTGTTAAACCCCTAGTGTAGTCTGCCCTCTGTGTAGTAGAACGGCCTCTTCTGGGTCCTGTACTGCAGTTAGCACCACTTCAGCCAGATCACTTTAAGGAAAACAATCTTAATTCTCCTCAGGCTATAAAATTTAGATTCACAGCCATGGAAATAATTTTTTTTACTATCTTTCCCCAAAGTTGTTTTCTTTCTTCTTTTTCTTCCTCTTCTTCCTTTTTTTTTGCTGAAGATCTCTCTCTCTGCTGTGATGTTCAACCATATTTTACTGAAAGCACAAGAGAGCAGGCTAAGGGCTATTCCCAGCTGCCTATGGCTCACTTTCCCTCTTCCTGAAGCATGGTGGCCTTTATGGAGGTGGGTCTCCCTGTTTAGGCCCTTTCCACAGTGGTTCTGTTTACAGGGCTGCCTCGTGATGAGCCTTTGCTGGGAGCCAGCCTGGCCCTTCCAGTCAAAGTAGGGACACACCAGGATTGTCTGTACTGTAACAGGAACCAGAAACCAGATACGTGCAGGTTTGATATAGGAGTCAAACATCACTTTAACATGATCTTAAGTATTAAGAGAGTGATTCTTCCCATTTGCTTCTACTTCAAACCCAGCTAATGTTTGATATAAGTCACAGTTTCATATTCAAAGGATCTTTGAAAACTTTTGGCCCTTTTCCCTTTTCCTTCCTCGTAGAGATATACAAGGCATGTCACAGTATATCATGCACAGCCTGGATTTTCCAACTACAAGCTTAATGGGAAAATAATCCAAAGGAATATTTTCAGTGCCCGTTAATAAAATAAAGAGATGTGTGGTCTAGTTTGTATTGTGAATGTCAAAGCCAGATTCTAAGTTGTAATAATATTTGATATTTTAATTATTATTATCATTATTAGTATTTGGTATGAGTGCTTAAAAATTATGTAAAATTAAAAGCTGCATGTTACACTAATTTTTTTTGTATAAAAAAATAAAGTCAGATAGCCCACCAGGGAACTAGACGAAGCATAGCATTTGATTTGTTCAGTTGATTTTGAAATGCATTATTTTGCATCCAGTGCATTTAAAGTGCTTCTTGGAAGTTCACTGATTTGAGCTGAAATTGGCTTTGGAGGACTTTCATTTTCCAGATGAGGAAACTGAGGGGTATACAGTTTTCACTTGAGCAGTGTGCTTCAGGACTGTGGGGTTTCAGGGAGTCAGCTCATTTATTGGGGACCAACTTTTACTGGGCACCAGCTTGTCACCTGCTAAACTCAGAGTTCACCATTCAGTTAATGTTTGAACCCATTCAACCACTGCATGGTCTGATGTTAATGTATCCTTTTACTATGCTTTCTTCTTCTATCTTTGTTTTCTCAAATACTCGTTACAAGCTCTTTGTATGATCTGATATAATAGCACAGTTCATTTGGTTATTTCAACTAAAATTACTTTATTGCATGGTTTTAAGTGCACTAAAGGCCCTTAGAGAAGAACTCAGGAGTTCCCTGGTGGTCCGGTGGTTAGGACTCAGGGCTTTCACTGCTGTTGCCTGAGTTTAATCCCTGGCTGGGGAACTAAGATCCCACAAGCCGCGCGGCAAAAAATAACAGGAAAAAAAAAAAAAGAAAAGGACTCAGTATCTCAAGGTAAAATAAAGTGAGGTATTCTAAATGTGATTTTTTTTTTTAATGTGATGTGATATTCCTTAACGACAAAGAACCATGGTTTTGTGCCTTGATTCTCTTTGGGTAAAATATTATTATTTTCTAATTTTATATACTATATAAGCCATAGTTAGTTAATTGTAAAAACTCATTTTCTCCATGTGTACTAGAAAATACACCCTTCAGACGGCCAGATTTTGTGGAGTTTTTTCCCACTCATTTCACACAAAGATATATTTGTATGCATGAATGTTGAATCTCACTGTACATTTTCTTGCCTGGCAACATAAATAAGCTTTTAATACACAAAGCATTATAGATATTCTCTGCCATATTACATGACAGAACATCATCAGTTCCTTATTCTTTACATGTCTTCTTTAGAAATGTAATAAGTTAATATCGAGCATGTTTTCTTCCTGCAAACTGACCAAAAAAATTACCTTTACATTTACATGATGTTAATGGAAATTTGTCACTGGAGCCTCATTATGGATCATGAACAATTACTTTGATGAAAAGTATAGTAATGGGGCTTCCCTGGTGGCGCAGTGGTTGGGAGTCCGCCTGCCGATGTAGGGGACACGGGTTCGTGCCCCGGTCCGGGGGGATCCCACGTACCGCGGAGCGGCTGGCCCTGTGAGCCATGGCCACTGAGCCTGCGCATCTGGAGCCTGTGCTCCGCAACGGGAGAGGCCACAACAGTGAGAGGCCCGCATACCGCAAAAAAAAAAAAGTATAGTAATGACAGAATTGGGTTGCTATTCATTTTTCCAAAATAAATTTTGCAAATGGAGCTTTCATATAATTATATTACTTTAGCCTGAAATTTCTACACTGTAGCAACATCTTACCCATCAGGAAGGAAATATGTATGTATGTGTATGTGTGTGTGTATATATATATATATATATATATATATATATATATTCCATATGTCAGAGTCTCTTGTTCTAGTCACACAGATTCTTTTGTTCTTTTGTCAATTTGGATAAAACGGTCATCTAAGTTCCAGGGAGATAAGGCAGATTAGCAGCAATAAATTATTGTAGAATAGGGGAATGCTGCTGCCTTATACACAACCAATGACATTAAACCTCCTGATACTGTATACTGCTTTGCTATTGACAAAATGACTGTGGACAACCACCATCTGGTAAGAAAGGAAGCAGAAAAAGAGGGTATAGATGAGGCGGCACTATGGTATAGTACAAATAATTACTATTTTCCAAATTGATGACCTTAATTCATCATTTTAAGAAAAAAACTAAATTATCATCATTCAACAAATATGACTACTGTGTGCCAGGCCATAAGAACAGGAAAGTCCTCAGGAAACTAAGAGTCTAGGCAACTTAAAGCCCAAGGGACTTCACAGTCACAACTGCTCATTACCAGGCCCCACTGTGAGTCTGTTTCGTTGGTATATGTAAGAGGATGGGAAAGATTATAATTTGTTCTGAAAATGTCCATCCCATAGGGTTAGAATCTGTTAGAAGTTTTGTGTTTAACATCTGCAAAAGGACTCTTCTTACTGAAGAAGATAGAAAGCTAAAGTTTAAAATCGTGGTTATCATGTCCAGAAAATAAAATGTCAATATATTATGAACAAACAAAACTTGCAGAGTGGATAAAATAGCCGTTACTGAGATATGCTGCCACCAGCAATTTAAAATGGAGCAACTGTCTTCTCCTTCCAAGCGGCCCCATTTCCTGCTTCTACAAGACTGATGGTAAGCACAGGAAGACAGCCGTGTGGTTGCTGGACAGATGGAGGCCCAAAAAGTCTTGTCCCAAAATCTCTCCAGCACTAAGCCTAAATATTCTACTGTTAATAATTGTAGCAAATCATTCAGGTTAAGTTATGAGTCTTTGGGTCCCTTCATTTCAAATACAGGCATCCCTGGGAAGTGATGGCATTGCAGCCTTCTTTCTGTTACTGAAAATGAGAATCAGAAAGCTTTTTTTTCTGGAGTAGGCAAAATGGTGGGCAAGAAATTAAGCTCGTGAAATGGACATTAAGAGAAATGGACTATTTGTTTTGTATTTTTGCTTCTGGACAATTGTGTGCCATAGTTCTAAGAAAAGCTCTTGTTTTAAATACATTTTCTTAGTTTTAAAATGTCTCATGTCCCTCACGTAAATTGGCCTTGCCAGCAACAGACTCACAGATAATACATTCTTGTGCCAAAGTTGCCTCAACCAGCTTCCTCAAGACTAAAAATAGCAAGCCAGCCTCCTTGTTGTCCATCTTGTGCCCTTCTGCTTCTTCTCTAAGAGGTTTTTGTTTATGCCTAACCCTGAGAGAGACTTACTGCTCCCTGGGAAATTTGGTGAAGATGCTCATTATGCTAGTTTCAAAAGAACTGCAGTTTTAAAGTCTTAATGATTTTTTTTCTAATTATAGTTGTATTAAATTAGTCCGCTTCTTCCACAGCAAACATGTAGGAGCTGAACATATGGAAAGATAGGAAAATTGCACTGTTCATTTGAAAAAACATCTTTCTCCTGATTATCTTAAGACTTTTGGAAATTTTATCAGTATGAATTAAAAACAACATTTAAAGATTTCGAATAGGGTAAACTTTTTCTTGCCTCAAGCTTTGGGTGTTTTTTCCTGCTTCTGTGCTCCAGTTGAGCAGTTGTCTTGGCCATCTACACCATTCCCCATTGTTGACAAGCTAACTAAAGTTAGAAACAGCTGCATGAACAATGATACCACAGCCGAGCAACCATGGCACTCAGTTCCCTTAAAAATATGATCACAAGTTATGTGGAGATTAGATGGGAAGTTAAGTTTTCGTATTGGAATGTGCAGGTAAGAAACTTAGGCATGGCTGGATGTTTTCTGAAAATCTGATTGCTGAAGGTAGTTCACGCTTGCTGCCTTCCACTTGTATCTGAATAGTCCTCAATTTGAGCTGGGAAAGGTACAGGATTTAAAATAGATTTCCAGTGGAACCAAAAGAGAAAAGTGCCAGCAACTTGTCAAAGGAGCTCATGTGTCAGAAAGAAACTGATCCCATTTCACATACCCATATCGCCTGAACATCTTTGGCTTTATAAATCATCGTCAGTGGAAGTGCATACATTCTGAGGCAAACAGAAATAAATTTGTACTCATCATTTATCAGTCTTAAATTTCTTAATCCAAAGTAGATTTTAAATGTCATGTCTTAGAATTAAAGTGTTAAGGCTCAGCCTTTCTTCATTTATCATATAGTTTTCAAATAGATGTTGATTTTTTCCCACTTAAACAAGCGGGTATAACCCAGTGGTTATCTGGTTGATGACAGAGCCCCTCTTCCTTTCTTTAGACTGAAGTTTATAATATATGTCATGTTGCAGTAAGGGGGAAAAAAGAATATAAAATTTTATTTTCCAGTGGATACATGTTAGTGACTGGACGTATTTTTTCCTTTCATTTTATTTTACTTTATTTTTATTAAAAATAAAAATTGTATTTTTAGCTGTAGTAAAAGACACATAACATAAAATTTACTATCTTAACCATTTTAAGAGTACAGTTAAGTGATATTATGTACGTTTACAGTGTTGCACTACTATCACCACTATTCATTTCCAGAACTTTTTCACCATCCCAAACAGAAACTCTGTACTCATTACAATAACTCCCTATTGAGGACATGTTTTTTAATACAAAAATCTCTGGTTTCCTCAGATGTGGTAGTTATTGCACCTATTGTTGCAGATTATGACTTCAAGGGAAAAAAGTTCCTGCCAAAGTTTTATGTGATTAACTAAGGAGGAAGTCTGTATCTTAATCCCATAAAATCAACTTCATTTGTCCTTTCCCACTAATAACAAATACATACATATTAAAACAACAAATGTCAAAAAATTTAAATATTGTTTATTTCATAAATATACCAACTGAATATTATCTTTTAAATATTTTTCTGAGTTCTAACAGAGAAATCATTTTCAAATTTTGAAGTTACAGTTCTTTCCACTCCTTTATAATATTACTGATTTATCAATTTAAATATTTTACATGGTCTCTGTGCTTATAATTTAAAGCTAATGCTCAGCTATTTCATTTACCATATAAAATAAACAACACTGATGATGAAGTATAGTTGTGGCAAATGCAAAAATTGCATCAGTATAATAATTTCCATGTATACAAATAGGCTAGGGCTTTATAGATTGTTGTCTTCAGAAAATGTTAAAGATAAGGTCACGGTTCTGTTTTTACAATATGCAGAATTTGAAATAAGCATTTTGAGAAAGCAAGCATTTTCTGGGGCAAATATGTTTTTCTGCATTATAAATTTAAAATCCAGCATGGGCCCAGCCTTTATTCCCTCCCAAATAATTTACTTGCTGTCATTGAAAACAATTCTAATGTCTTCCTGACTTTTCTTGTCATAGCTCAAATTTATCAACCATGACATTGTTTATTTTTGGCTGTTAAATGCTTCCATATAATCTGAGACGGTTTATATTTTCTCTTTACTTCTCTTTGCTGATAATATAGAGTGAATTGCCTGTCAATATGTTTATCCTTCTTGAATCTGGAGAAGGGCACAGAAAGCATTGTTGTTAATGGAACTAGACTGCTTAGAATTTTGGCTCACTGGTAAAGTTGGACTGTTTGTTCTTAAGAAAGTCATCATCTATGCCCCGTTTTCAGGGTATAGCCATACACTCTGTTTATATACAAGTTAGCATTGCCACCACAGGCAACAACTGTCACCTTACATTCCATTTTTTAAGGACCTCTGAAGTTAATGGCTTATATCTAAGAAGTAAATCTCTTCTGGAAACTGCCCATGAAAAATAATTTTTAATTGGATTTGGACAAATACAGTCCTTTTCCTACTGACTGTCATACTGGGTCTCCTCTTCCACCCCACTAATGTCCTCGTTGGTCTAAATGTCAACACTCCATTGACCTCTGCAACATGGACAGCTCCTTGGAGGCTTAATAAATTTATTCATGATGGCTATAAGAGCATTGGAATATGGAACAAATATTAGCACACAGAGAACAGAATGAGTTGTAAAATGATGTCAAATAAATAAATACAAATAAGAAAATTAGAGTTGCTTAAAATCTATCGTATGTTAAAAACTTTCTTGTTTGAAGGTCAAAGGATGTTCCGTAACTGTAATCCTAATTATAAATTACAAATCAAAAAATACTAAGAACAATTTATAATTACCTATATTTGGGGGATATGTTTAAATTCACATTATATATTCACTTAGCAGACCTGTCTTCTACTGAAAATCACTCTGGATACATTTCGAAGGTTATGAATATTTTGAAGTGTAGATATCTTGATTTATTTCAAGTGAATATTAGTGTTCTCATTTTACGGAAATCACCTGTTTCTTTTTATTGAACTGCAGCTCAAAGAGTCATTCAAAGACATCAAAAAGAAATTCAACAATTTGAAGTTTAATTACACTAAGAAAAATGAAAAAGCTCGAAATCTAAAAGCTCTGAAATATCAAATTCAACAAGTAGATATGTATGCTGAAAAATTACAGGTAATGAGAAAGTACGTGTGTGTGTGCGTGCTACTGCAATTATTGCAAAATTATTTTGCATTTCAATTCTAGATGCCTAACCCCTGGGCTTTTTTATAGCATTAGGACTGAAAAGATCATCCTTAATTTTTATAACAATTGGGTACTTCATGTAAAATACATAATTAATTGATTTATCTCTTGAAGCAGCTCCAAAATGATTTCTGCCAAATCTACCCAGCCTCTCCCCTTCCCCTCTCTCTCTCTCTCTCTCTCTCTCTCTCTCTCACACACACACACACACACACACACACACACACATCCCCCTCTTGTATACCCCTCTTTCTTTCCTTGTACCCACCTATGTCAGGACCTTCCTCCCCTGTTCCTGCAGCCCCTTGTCACTTATACTGGCTAGATTATTTGAGTGCCTTTCTCGGGAGACAGTGAGCTAACTGAGGACAATAAAATATTTGATTTTATGATCACTGTCTTTTTTTAAATCATTAGTAGCATTCTCAAACTATGGTATAGATCCTGATATGCAGTAAATTTTCTCTATGTTTGCTGCTGAATCAATAAACTGTCTGAAACAAAACCTATTCTTTCCAAAATGCGTTTTAATAATTATGATTTTAACATATTAAATGGAGGAAGCTACAAAAGTTTTTCCCACAATATTTAATCACTAGCCTCATAAATAAAAATTGAATGTCCTTAAATATTTTTTTTTTGCACAGGCTTTGAAAAGGAAAATGGGAAAAGTTGAGAATAAGACTTTTTTCTTAAATTATCCAAATAATAAAGTGAATGTCCTTTCGGAAGCCATGAGGGATTTGCAGAAATATGTGGATGAGTTTGACAAAGTTGTGACAGATTACAGGAAGAATTTGGACCTGACTGAGCATCTCCAGGAGTTGATAGAAGAGGTATCCTCTTCTTATTGTAATGTTATCTGTGTTGTAATGTTGTTTTTAAAAATTAGTCAGCTGCTTTAAAACAATGCTGCATTGGCTATTATTGTCATTAAATTCATGCATCATGCCTCTTTTCATGATTATATCCTTAGGATAATTTCCTAAAGCAGAATTGCTGGACCAAAGGGGATGCATGTTATAAGGTTTTGATTGTATTGTCCAATTGCTCTTTGGAAAGATTTTACTAATTTACTCTTTTTACCAGCAACATATGAGACTTTCTCATTTCTCCATAACCACATCAACTCAAGATATGTTTAACCATTATGGAATTATGTTCACTGCTGGATATCTGCTAAAACACTCAAAAATGACATTTATTTCACAGAATTTGAAAATGTTTAGAAAGAAAGGTGATACTTGGATTTTTCAGGTACAAAAATTGTTATTGATATTATTTCGTTTTTGTCAAGAGGATAAATGGCAAAGTATATACAGATTACATGAAATGTAGCAAGTTGGTTATTATTGGCATACTTCATAGTGAAGAAGCTCTACACTTGAAGTTATTGAGCGTTCTTTGTAATCCATTTTTCTGAGATACAAAATGTCTCTCCCACTAACGCAATAGAGCTTTTAGATGTAACACCACATTAAGGAGGATTGAAATGATCATTCTTCTATACTGATGTATAAGTTCGCTGTACTTCTGTGGCACTTATTTAAAGCCAGCTCCTAACAGAGTCATGTGTTTCTATTTCTCACTCAGCATAAGTGTTTCTAGCCTTGGTCAGACACTTCTTCCATCACAGTTATTTATTTTCAGTGAGAAACTCTCAATTCTCCACTGTCCTTTGAAAATATGACTATCTTCTATCAAGAAAAGGTCAAATGCTATTCTTCAAATGATATTTCCTCAATCTATACACTAAATCTTATTCTTAAAAGAGAATTTATTTATTAGAGTGTTATTTGGGCAATAATTTATCCATGTATTGTAAATGATTTCAATTACATAGGCTGGATTTTGTGTGTTTGAGCTTTTTTCTTCCCTTTAGCTGATATTTGGATTCTTTTCAGTGCCATATGCTTTTTATTTTTACTTATTTATTTATTTTTAACATCTTTATTGGAGTATAATTGCTTTACAATGGTGTGTTAGTTTCTGCTGTATAACAAAGTGAATCAGTTATACATATACATATATCCCCGTATCTCTTCCCTCTTGCGTCTCCCTCGCTCCCATCCTCCCTATCCCACCCCTCTACGTGGTCACAAAGCACCAAGCTGATCTCACCGTGCCACGTGGCTGCTTCCCACCAGCCATCCACCACACACTTGGTAGTGTATATATCTCCATGCCACTCTCTCACTTTGTCCCAGCTTACCCCTTCCCCTCCCCATATCATCAAGTCCATTCTCTAGTAGGTCTGCGTCTTTATTCCCATCTTGCCCCTAGGTTCTTCACAATCAGTTTTTTTTTTTTTTTTTAGATTCCATATATATGTGTTAGCATATGGTATTTGTTTTTCTCTTTCTGACTTACTTCACTCTGTATGACAGACTCTAGTTCCATCCACCTCACTACAAATAACTCAATTTCATTTCTTTTTTTTTTTTTTAACATCTTTATTGGGGTATAATTGCTTTACAATGGTGTGTTAGTTTCTGCTTTATAACAAAGTGAATCAGTCATACATAAACATATGTTCCCATATGTCTTCCCTCTTGCGTCTCCCTCCCTCCCACCCTCCCTATCCCACCCCTCCAGGCTGTCACAAAGCACCGAGCCAATATCCCTGTGCCATGCGGCTGCTTCCCACTAGCTATCTACCTTACTACGTTTGTTAGTGTGTATATGCCCATGACTCTCTCTCGCCCTGTCACAGCTCACCCTTCCCCCTCCCCATAACCTCAAGTCCGTTCTCTAGGAGGTCTGCGTCTTTATTCCTGCTTTACCCCTAGGTTCTTCATGACATTTTTTTTCTTAAATTCCATATGTATGTGTTAGCATACGGTATTTGTCTTTTTCTTTCTGACTTACTTCACTGTGTATGACAGACTCTAGGTCTATCCACCTCATTACAAATAGCTCAATTTCGTTTCTTTTTATGACTGAGTAATATTCCATTGTATATATGTGCCACAGCATCTTTATCCTATCATCTGTTGATGGACACTTAGGTTGCTTCCATGACCTGGCTATTGTAAATAGAGCTGCAATGAACATTGTGGAACATGACTCTTTTTGAAATACAGTTTTCTCAGGGTATATGCCCAGTAGTGGGATTGCTGGGTCATATGGTAGCTCTAATTTTAGTTTTTTAAAGAACCTCCATACTGTTCTCCATAGTGGCTATATAAATTTACATTCCCACCAACAGTCCTCAACTTCCCACCAACTTTCTCCACACCCTCTCCAGCATTTACTGTTTGCAGATTTTTTGATGATGGCCATTCTGACCGGGGTGAGATGATATCTCATTGTAGTTTTGATTTGCATTTCTCTAATGATTAATGATGTTGAGCATTCTTTCATGTGTTTGTTGGCAATCTGGGTATCTTCTTTGGAGAAATGTCTATTTAGGTCTTCTGCCCATTTTTGGATTGGGTTGTTTGTTTTCTTGATATTGAGCTGCATGAGCTGCTTGTAAATTTTGGAGATTAATCCTTTGTCAGTTGCTTCATTTGCAAATATTTTCTCCCATTCTGAGGGTTGTCTTTTCATGTTGTTTATGATTTCCTTTGCTGTGCAAAAGCTTTTAAGTTTCATTGGGTCCCATTTGTTTATTTTTGTTTTTCTTTCCATTTCTCTATGAGGTGGGTCAAAAAGGATCTTGCTGTGATTTATGTCATAGAGCGTTCTGCCTATGTTTTCCTCTAAGAGTTTTATAGTGTCTGGCACTACATTTAGGGCTTTAATCCATTTTGAGTTTATTTTTGTGTATGGTGTTAGGGAGTGTTCTAATTTCACTATTTTACATGTACCTGTCCAGTTTTCCCAGCACCACTTATTGAACAGGCTATCTTTTACCCACTGTATATTCTTGCCTCCTTTATAAGGTGACCATATGTGCGTGGGTTTATCTCTGGGCTTTCTATCCTGTCCCATTGATTTATATCTCTGTTTCTGTGCCAGTACCATATGTAGCTTTGTAGTATAGTCTGAAATCAGGGAGCCTGATTCCTCCAGCTCCGTTTTTCTTTCTCAAGATTGCTTTGGCTATTGTGTTTCCATACAAATTGTGAAATTTTTTGTTCTAGTTCTGTGAAAAATGCCAGTGGTAGTTTGATAGGGATTGCATTGAATCTGTAGATTGCTTTGGGTAGTAGAGTCATTTTCACAATGTTGATTCTTCCAATCCAAGCACATGGTATATCTCTCCATCTACTTGTATCACCTTTAATTTCTTTCATCAGTGTCTTATAATTTTCTGCATACAGGTCTTTTGTCTCCTTAGGTAGGTTTATTCCTAGATGTTTTATTCTTTTTGTTGCAATGGTAAATGGGAGTGTTTTATTAATTTCTCTTTCAGATTTTTCATCATTAGTGTATAGGAATGCAAGAGATTTCTGTGCATTAATTTTGTATACTGTTACTTTACTAAATTCATTGATTAGCTCTAGTAGTTTTCTGGTAGCACCTTTAGGATTCTGTATGTATAGTATCATGTCATCTGCAAACAGTGACAGCTTTACTTCTTCTTTTCCGATTTGGATTCCTTTTATTTCTTTTTCTTCTCTGATTGCTGTGGCTAAAACTTCCAAAACTATGTTGAATAAGAGTGGTGAGAGTGGGCAACCTTGTCTTGCTCCTGATCTTAGTGGAAATGGTTTCACTTTTTCACCATTGAGGACGATGTTGGCTGTGGGTTTGTCATATATGGCCTTTATTATGTTGAGGTAAGTTCCCTCTATGCCTACTTTCTGGAGGGTTTTTATCATAAATGGGTGTTGAATTTTGTTGATAGCTTTCTCTGCATCTATTGAGATGATCATATGGCTTTTATCCTTCAATTTGTTAATATGGTGTATCGTGTTGATTGATTTGCATATATTGAAGAATCCTTGCATTCCTGTGATAAACCCCACTTCATCATGGTGTATGATCCTTTTAAAATGCTGTTGGATTCTGTTTGCTAGTATTTTGTTGAGAATTTTTCCATCTATGTTCATCAGTGATATTGGCCTGTAGTTTTCTTTCTTTGTGACATCTTTGTCTGGTTTTGGTATCAGCGTGATGGTGGCCTCGTAGAATGAGTTTGGGTATGTTCCTCCCTCTGCCATAATTTGGAAGAGTTTGAGAGGATAGGTGTTAGCTCTTCTCTATATGCTTGATAGAATTCGCCTGTGAAGCCATCTTGTCCTGGGCTTTTGTTTGTTGGAAGATTTTTAATCACAGTTTCAATTTCAGTGCTTGTCAATGGTCTGTTCATATTTTCCATTTCTTCCTGGTTCAGTCTCGGAAGGTTGTGCATTTCTAAGAATTTGTCCATTTCTTCCAGGTTGTCCATTTTATTGCCATATAGTTGCTTGTAGTAATCTCTCATGATCCTTTGTATTTCTGCCGTGTCAATTGTTACTTCTCCTTTGTATTTCTGTAGTGTCAGTTGTTACTTCTCCTTTTTCATTTCTATTTATTTGAGTCTTCTCCCTTTTTTTATTGATGAGTCTGGCTAATGGTTTATCAATTTTGTTTATCTTCTCAAAGAACCAGCTTTTAGTTTAATTGATCTTTGCTATAGTTTCCTTCATTTTTTTCATTTATTTCTGATCTGATCTTTATGATTCCTTTCCTTCTGCTAACTTTGGTTTTTTTTTTTTCTTCTTTCTCTAATTGCTTTAGGTGTAAAGTTAGGTTATTTAATTGAGATGTTTCTTGTTTCTTAAGGTAGGATTGTATTGCTATAAAATTCCTTCTTAGAACTGCTTTTGCTGCATCCCATAGGTTTTGGGTCATCGTGTTTTCATTGTCATTTGTTTCTACGTATTTTTTGATTTCCTCTTTGATTTCTTCAGTGATCTCTTGGTTATTAAGTAGTGTATTGTTTAGCCTCCATGTGTTGGTATTTTTTACAGATCTTTTCCTGTAATTGATATCTAGTTTCATAGCATTGTGGTCGGAAAAGATACTTGATACGATTTCAATTTTCTTAAATTTACCAAGGGTTGCTTTGTGACCCAAGATATGATCCTGGAGAATGTTCCATGAGCACTTGAGAAGAATGTGTATTCTGTTGTTTTTGGATGGAATGTCCTATAAATATCAAGTAAGTCTATCTTGTTTAATGTATCATTTAAAGCTTGTGTTTCCTTATTTATTTTCATTTTGGATGATTGTCCTTTGGTGAAACTGGGGTGTTAAAGTCCCCTACTATGATTGTGTTCCTGTCCATTTCCCCTTTTATGGCTTTTAGTATTTGCCTTATGTGTTGAGGGGCTCCTATGTTGGGTGCATAAATATTTACAATTGTTATATCTTCTTCTTGGATTGATCCCTTGATCACTATGTAGTGTCCTTCTTTGTCTCTTGTAATAGCCTTTATTATAAAGTTTATTTTGTCTGATGTGATACTTGCTACTCCAGCTTTCTTTTGATTTCCATAGGCATGGATTATCATTTTCCATCCCCTCACTTTCAGTCTGTATGTGTCCCTAGGTCTGAAGTTGGTCTCTTTAGACAGCATATATATGGGTCTTGTTTTTGTATCCATTCAGCCACTCTATGTCTTTTGGTTGGAGCATTTACTCCATTTACATTTAAGGTAATTATAGATATGTATGTTCCTATTACTATTTTCTTAATTGTGTTGATTTGTTATTGTTGGTGTTTTCCTTCTCTTGTGTTTCCTGCCTAGAGAGTTTCCTTTAGCATTTGTTGTAAAGCTGGTTTGGTGGTGCTGAATTCTCTTAGCTTTTGCTTGTTTGTAAAGGTTTCAATTTCTCTGTCAAATCTGAATGAGATCCTTGCTGGTTAGAGTAATCTTGGTTGTAGGTTTTTCCCCTTCATCACTTTAAGTATGTTCTGCCACTCCCTTCTGGCTTGCAGAGTTTCTGCTGAAAGGTCAGCTGCTAACCTTATGGGGATTCCCTTGTATGGTATTTGTTGTTTTTCCCTTGCTGCTTTCAATATTTTTTCTTTGTATTTAATTTTTGATAGTTTGAGTAATATGTGTCTTGGTGTGTTTCTCCTTGGATTTATCCTGTATGGGACTCTCTGCACTTCCTGGACTTGATTAACTATTTCCTTTCCCATATTAGGGTAGTTTTTAACTATAATCTCTTCAAATATTTTCTCAGTCCCTTTCTTTTTCTCTTCTTCTTCTGGGACCCCTATAATTTGAATGTTGGTGTGTTTAATGTTGTCCCAGAGGTCTCTGAGACTGTCTTCAATTCTTTTCATTCTATTTTCTTTATTCTGCTCTGAGGTAGTTATTTCCACTATTTTATCTCCGAGGTCACTTATCTGTTCTTCTGCCTCAGTTATTCTGCTATTGATCCCTTCTAGAGAATTTTTAATTTCATTTATTGTGTTGTTCATCACTGTTTGTTTGCTCTTTAGTTATTCTAGGTCCTTGTTAAATGTTTCTTGTATTTTCTCCATTCTATTTCCAAGATTTTGGATCATCTTTACTATCATTTTTCTGAATTCTTTTTCAGGTAGACTGCCTGTTTCCTCTTCATTTGTTAGGTCTGGTGGGTTTTTACCTTGCTCCTTCATCTGCTGTGTTTCTCTGTCTTCTCATTTTGCTTAACTTACTGTGCTTGGGGTCTCCTTTTCACAGGCTGCAAGTTCCTAGTTCCCATTGTTTTTGGTGTCTGCCCCCAGTGGCTAAGGTTGGTTCAGTGGGTTGTGTAGGCTCCCTGGTGGAGAGGATTAGTGCCTGTGTTCTGGTGGATGAGGCTGGATCTTGTCTTTCTGGTGGGCAGGTCCACATCTGGTGGTGTGTTTTGGGGTGTCTGTGGACTTATTATGATTTTAGGCAGCCTCTCTGCTAATGCATGGGGTTGTGTTCCTGTCTTGCTAGTTGTTTGGCATAGGGTATCCTGTTCTGGAGCTTGCTGGTCATTGAGTGGAGCTGGGTATTGGTGTTGAGATGGAGATCTCTGGGAGATTTTCGCCGTTTGATATTACGTGGAGCTGGGAGGTCTCTTGTGGACCAGTGTCCTGAACTTGGCTCTCCCACCTCAGAGGCACAGCCCTGACACGTGGCTGGAGCACCAAGAGCCTGTCATCCACATGGCTCAGAATAAAAGGGAGAAAGAAAAGAAAGAACAAAACAAGAAGATAAAATAAAATTAAAAAGTTATTAAAATAAAAAATAATTGTTAAAAAATTTTTTTAACTAATAAAAAAAGAAAAGAAAGAAAGAAGAGAGCAACCAAACCAAGAAACAAATCCACCATTGATAACAAGTGCTAAAAAGTATACTAAAAAGAAAAACAAAAAACGGACAGACAGAACCCTAGGACAAATGGTAAAAGCAAAGCTATACAGACAAAATCACACACAGAAGCATACACATACACACTCACAAAAAGAGAAAAAGGAAAAAATATATATATATATATCGTTGCTCCCAAAGTCCACCTCCTCAATTTGGGATGATTCGTTGTCTATTCAGATATTCCACAGACGCAGGGTACATCTAGTTGCATGTGGCGATTTAATCCGCTGCTCCTGAGGCTGCTGGGAGAAATTTCCCTTTCTCTTCTTTGTTTGCACAGCTCCCAGGGTTCAGCTTTGGATTTTGCCCCGCCTCTGCGTGTAGGTTGCCTGAGGGCGTCTGTTCTTCACTCAGACAAGACGGGGTTAAAGGAGCCGCTGATTCGGGAGCTCTGGCTCACTCAGGCCGAGGGTAGGAAGGGGTACGGACTGCGGGGGGATCCTGCGGCAACAGAGGCCGGTTATGATGTTGCACCAGCCTGAGGCACGCCGTGCGTTCTCCTGGGGAAGTTGTCTCTGTATCACGGGACCCTGGCAGTGGCGGGCTGCACAGGCTCCCAGAGGGGCAGTGTGGATAGTGACCTGTGCTTGCACACAGGCTTCTTGGTGGCTGCAGCAACAGCCCCAGCGTCCCATGCCCGTCTCTGGGGTCCACGCTGATAGCCGCGGCTCGCGCCGGTCTCTGGAGCTACTTTAAGCAGCATTCTTAATCCCCTCTCCTCGCGCACCAGGAAACAAAGAGGGAAGAAAAAGTCTCTTGCCTCTTCGGCAGGTCCAGACTTTTCCCCGGACTCCCTCCCGGCCCTCCATGGCGCACTAACCCCTTCAGGCTGTGTTCATGCTGCCAACCCCAGTCCTCTCCCTGGATCCGACCTCCGAAGCCCGAGCCTCAGCTCCCAGCCCCCAACTGCCCTGGCAGGTGAGCAAACAAGTCTCTCGGGCTGGTGAGTGCCGGTCGGCCCTGATGCTCTGTGCGAGAATCTCTCCGCTTTGCCCTCTGCACCCCTGTTGCTGCGCTCTCCTCCGTGGCCCCGAAACTTCCCGCCCCCCGCTGCCACCCCCATCCCCGCCAGTGAAGGGGCTTCCTAGTGTGTGGAAACTTTTCCTTCTTCACGGCTCCCTCCCACTGGTGCAGGTCCCGTCCCTATTCTTTTGTCTCTGTTTATTCTTTTTTCTATTGCCGTACCCAGGTACGTGGGGTGTTTCTTGCCTTTTGGGAGGTCTGAGGTCTTCTGCCAGCGTTCAGTAGGTGTTCTGTAGGAGTTGTTCCACATGTAGATGTATTTCTGATGTATTTGTGGGGAGGAAGGTGATCTCCACGTCTTACTCTTCCGCCATCTTGAAGCTCCTCCCACATGCTTTTTCAGACTGCCTGTTCTTGTAAGTCTGCAACATTCCTCTTAGGAATTATGCTTCAGGCAAACCTAAGAAGGCAGGAAAATCAGAGTGATTTCCATACTTCTACTTTCTTACCTGACTCTAATTTCCAAGTGCAAAAGTATATGATCACGTTGTGGTGTTTTCCTTCTTAGGACTTAAAGAGTTCACACTAATGTGAATATAAAGTTTGAGGAAATTGAAATTTGATATTTCAGTGATCAAAATGAAGAACTTTGGAAGGATGGTGTCTCTTTAATCTATGCTTTGTCCCATTTTAATTTAGTGTCACTTTTGGTATGAAGATGCAAGTGCCACAGTTGTAAGAGTTAGAAAATATTCCACAGAGTGCAAGACCAAGGAAGCTGTGGAGATTCTCCTTCAGCAGTTCAAAAAGTTTATCACACCCTCAGTGCCTCAGCAAGAAGAAAGGATTCAGGAAATCAGTGACCTGGCTCAGCGCTTATATGGTGAGGTCTCTTTTAAGATACCCACTGATTCACTATTGAACACATCTCTAGTGAACCTGATCCAGCGGAAAGCAGAGCATGGCAAGCCCTCAGGGTCCTCACTACCCCAACCTATTCAAGGAAAAGTTTAAAGATAAGAGCAAAAGTGAACTGTAGTGAATAGAGGAAGGAACTCCTGGCTGTAGGAGATGAAGGCTGTGGATTTTTAATGACCATTTGTAAACCCTCCTTCTAAATTCTGCTTTGTTCCCCATTCTTGTTGTTCATCTTCAGGGTAATAAAACCAGAACAATACTCAGCTTATGTAGACAAAAAAATCTAATTTCCACTAGGGTGATTCCTCAAAAAAATACAAAACTCCCATAATATTATACTTAAAGTAGGTAGAAAGCTAAGACTGAGGTCTACAGCCCTCTCACTTCTATGAGGGTTATGGTTTGTGGATATGAGAAAGAGCTGGAAGATTTTCCCTTGTCTTCCTCTCACTTGTGGAATAAATGGGAGAACTCAAACGACCATCTCGCTGGTTGTGCTTTCCTCTTATCCATGACTTTGTCAGTCTGAGAAGTCTTTCTATCTGAGGGAAGGCCCCATTTAAAAGGCCCATGGGGGTTGACAGTCCTTGAGGGTACAAAGGAATAACTTTCATGAATTCCCTGACATTGTTAACTACAGGCCAAGAGTAATTCCTAGTGACAGGGCAAATCTAGCCCCAAAGGAAGGTAGCAACAGGTGCTTCATTTGGCTGTCCACAGCTGCTGTCAGGTGGACATTTTCTCTTATTACATGAAGCACTATGCATGGATAGACATAAAAATTTTGTGGAACGATATATACTGTACTCCCTAACATCAAATTACTGAGAATGAATTATTAATGATTTTCCAGAGAAAAGGGTAGAAACATAAGAACAATAAAATATAGATTGAAAAATTAAAGAAGACTAATGTGATGTTTCATTCCTACTATAGTTACCGTATAAGTGTACTAAAAAATTCTGGAGGCACTCTGCTTCTATAAGATGGTTTATGTTTTCCTCTGTTATTGTATTCTTCACACTGTAGCATAATTACCTTTCCATTTGTCTGTCTTCTCAACTGACCATAAGCTCCTTGAGGGTAAGGGAAGTATATTTAATCACTATGTTTCAGTGCCACTCAACTTCAGCACATGGGAAGTACTCACATGACACCATAAAAGTTACATTACCCTCCCATTATGCAAGATCCCACATCCTGCTCTGTTTGTATTCCAAGGCCTTATCACCAACTGACATATTGTATGGTTATTTGTCTGTTGTCTGGCTCTCCTTACTAGAGTGTAAGCTCCTTGAGAAAAGGGAGTTCACTGCATTACGGTATATACTAAGTGCTTAACAAATATTTGCTGAATAAATGAATCACTGAATGAATAAATGAATGGCATGAGTCTTCATCTGTTCAGTATGGAAGTTATGCATTTTTTAGAATTTGCATCAGGTAAGATAATTTAGAAATAGTATATCAATTCTTATAGCATTATTGAACCCAGAATTTTAATGCAAATAAATTTATCGCAAAAAAAATTTGAGTACCTATTATGTACTCAGAGCTGTGCTTGATATAAAGACATATAAGACTTAGTTCCATCATTCAAGAATCGACAGTCTGTACCTAGAAATCACAATATGGTAAATGCAGTGAGAAGGGTATAAAATGTGTGTATTAGTTTTCTAGGGCTGCCATAACAAAATACCACAGACTGGGTGGCTTCAACAACAAAAATTTATTCCCTCACAGTTCTGGAAGCTAGAGGTCCAAGATTAAGGTGCTCACAGAGTTGGTTTCTACTGAGGCTTCTCTTCTCTTGCTGCCTCTTCATATGGGCATCCCTCTGTGCACAAGCACCCTGGTTTGCTGGTGTCTCTCCTTCTTATAAGGACACCAGTCATGTTGGATTGGGACCCTACCCTAATGGCCTCTTTTTAACTTTATCACTCTTTAAAGACCTCATCTCCAAATATGGTTATATTCTGAGATACTGGGTGTTGAGTCTTCAACATATTAATTTTGAGAGGGACACAATTCAGCCCATAACAATGTATAATTCTAGTTTGGTCTGAACTGTGGAGTCCAGTAGGCCAAGTTTAAATCCCTTCTCCTCCAATTATTGTCTGGGTCACCTGAAAAGGCTCTGTTGAGCCTTGCATTTCTCATTTGCAAAATGCAGTAGAACCTACCAGAGAAGGATTATGTTAGCTAATGCATATAAAATGCCTAGCCACAGGCAAATAATAAGCACTCACTACGTGATAGATATTTGTATCATTATCCCAATAGGAAGAGGTAAAATCCAGTTGGGAAAGATTAAGAACATTTTTACAAAGACGTTGGCATTTCAGGTAGACCTTGGAGAGTGGGTAGGATTTGTCAAGCAGAGATGGGGTTATGGTGAGGGCATTCCCAGTACAGAAAAGAATACTCAGTGGCTATGGGGGTTTTGAGAGAAAAGTTGCTGGTTCAGTTTGTCCAGAGGTTAAATATGTGAGAGAATTAGGGTGACATACCTTTGAGAGAGGCAGGTTAAAACCATATTATGGAGGGCCTGGAATGTATACTTTTCTAGGTAGTGAAGAACCACTGAATGTTCTGAAAAGGAGAAAACTGGTTAGAATGGAGCTTTAAGAATATTAATATAGAAACATTATTTAGGTTATATAAGAGGGACATGGCACAGCAAATGTAACCATTTTTCTAGAATACTTGGTTTTTCCAGTAATGCCTTTATTTATTTATCTGTTCAGCAAGTATTTAGTAAGCACTTACTATTTACCAGCCCTTATGCTGGACACTGGGGAGATCAATTAATGCCTGGGATTTTTTTTTCTGCTAAGGATTTGAGCTTTAAAAATAGATTTAACCCTTCTCCTCCCCAGGTTTTGAAGAAGGGCAGAAATATGCTGAGAAAATAGTGGCCAAACATAAAGAGGTTCTTGAATCTGTTACTGAATTATGTAGCTCTCTCACAGAGCTTGAAGAAAAAAAGGTAATTTCTTCTTACCAGAATATGTATTTTTAAGTGATATAAATAAAAATGTGTTTATCAAGTGTCTTCTGGTACAAAGATGTTCTAACGGAAATTCTCAAGGGACATAATGTGCACATTTGTTTCACAGCTTTCTAACATAATTATATGGTTGTTTCTGATAATTAATTCTGTTTCTTTTCCATCACTGCAGAGAAAAATATTGCTGAGTATAAGGAGTAAACTATTAAGGTGTCTTGTTTATATTTTCATGGATCATATCCTAAAGGATAAATGTGTGCCATTAAGATCAAAGTCTATATTAAGTAGTTTTACGTTTTCGCTCATAAATAATGAACATGTTATTTTTTCTCCTCCAAATTGTGGCCTTGGAGAAAATAAAACTAATCTTCAGGTATTATAGTCATTGAACATTTAGCTTCATGGAAATATTAAACTAATCATTGGCATCTTTCATGGAATAAATAAATTGATGGTAAAAAAAATAGAGAGAAAATATGTTTATGACTATGTGTAGGTAAAATCTGGTTAAAAGAGAGAAATGTATGTATATATATATGTGTGTGTGTGTGTGTGTATATATATATACATATGTATGTATATATATATTGTTTTTGTCTATGTTGTGTCAAAACTGGTTTCATTAGTGCTGTTTTCAGAACTGGCTGAAAGAACCAGTTGTTTAGGATAGAGATAATGGCAAGGTAATCAAGAGCACAGGCTCTAGAATAAAACACAGCCCCCTAGGAATACCAACTCTCCAAATTATTGGATTTGTGAATGAATTGGGGTAAATTCCTTAATGGCCGTGAGTCTCAGTTTCCTGATCTATAAAATGGAGGAAATAGAGGAAGCTAATAACAGGATAGCCCTGAGGATTGAATGTGAAGACACCTGTGATTATTGTTGTGATTGCTGTTGGTATTGAGACATAATGGTGCTCTTGCAGCTTGGAGCAGAATTATATTTATTTTCAGCAACTATTTTTTCTGTATGAATTTCCATGTCATAAATTTGAGTGACATTCCATTCAAAATGGTTTGCTAAGCTTGCTTATTTATTTATTTATTTATTTATAGCTGTGCTGGGTCTTCGTTGCTGCGCGCGGGCTTTCTCTAGTTGCGGCGAGCAGGGGCTACTCTTCATTTTGGTGCGCGGGCTTCTCATTGCACTGGCTTCTCTTGCTGCGGAGCATGGGCTCCAGGTGCATAGGCTCAGTAGTTGTAGCTCGTGGGCTCTAGAGCACAGGCTCAGTAGTTGTGGCACACGGGCCCAGTTACTCCGCAGCACGTGGGATCCTCCCGGACCAGGGCTTGAACCTGTGTTCCCTGCATTGGCAGGCAGACTCCCAACCACTGCACCACGAGGGAAGTCCCTAAATGGTTTGCTAAGCTTTTAATTCAGTGGGCACCCAATCAAATTATCTTTTTCCTTTGGTTGAGAATCTAGATTTTTCAAATTCTTTACCATTTTCAGTAACACTGTAGTGAGCATCTTTGTACATGAAGCTTTTTTCTCTCTTTTGTATTATTACCTACGCAAAAATTCTTTGCTTTTCATAGATGTTTTACAATGATAATGCCACCAGTAATGTATGAATGCACCATATATTTTGTATTATCTTTTTCAGCATTAATCGTTTCCTCCCCACCTTCACCCCACCCCCTGAGGATGTGTTTCTTCTGATTTCTGATACGCAGCCTGAAAATGGCTGCTTCCTCTGACTCTTTGCTGTCATCTACAGCATCCCTCTCATTTATGCTGTACATCTCCAAGTGAGCTCCACTAAATAAAATCGACTCTCTTAAAGTGATAGTCCTTTCCAGTTTTTCACCTTCATGGCTATTCTTACTGAAAGCTGTTTCTATTCCCTCTGCCCCCTTCCACTTTCCCCCTTCCTTCTACACCCCTGGAGTCAGCATTGCACCCTCTCTTTCTCATTCCTAACCTATCACTTGGATTCTCTTTTGTGCTAGTCAGCAGCCTCCTAATTATTCACTCCTGCTAGATGAGCCTGCTAGTGTCATTTTTACATTCAGAACACTTCACTACAAACTCTTCCTTGTTTACCAGATAAAGTTCGGACTCAAGGCCTTCCAATGTTCTGGGGCCGATGGTCTTTCCAAACCACTGTGCTTCTACATTCATTGTAGGTTCCTATCTCACTGGTCTCCTACCCCACATTCCCAGGTCTCCTGCTTCTAAACTTTTACAGTCGTTCCCGCTTATCTACAGTTTTGCTTTCCTCAGTTTCAATTACCTGAAGACAACCTCAGTCTGAAAATATTAGATGAAAAATTCCAAAAATAAACAATTCATAAGTTTTAAATTGTGAGAGACCATATTCATGTAACTTTTATTACAGTATATTGCTGTACTTATCCTATTTTATTATTAGTTATTTTAATTAATCTCTTACTCAACCTAATTTATAGATTAAACTTTATCATAAGTATGTATGTATAGGAAAAAAACATAGTACATATATATAACGTTTGGTACTATCTATGGTTTTGGGCATCCACTGGGGGTCTTGGAACATATTCTCCATGGGTAAGGGCAGGCCACTGTACCTCATGTGCATGGCCTTCTATCTCTCTGACCTAAATTGTTCATCTCTCAAAGCCAGACCCAAATAGTGCCTCCTCCACAATTCCTTCCTTAGCTGTGTCACTTCGCAGGGGAACCGGGCCGCACAGCAGGAGCGAGTGCGGGCGAGCGAGCGAAGCTTCACCTGTAGTTACAGCCATTTCCTGTCGTTCGCATTACCACCTGAGCTCCGCCTCCTGTCAGATGAATGGCATGAGATTCTCATAGGAGCGCAAATCCTACTGTGAACTGCTCATGCGAGGGATCTAGGTTGTGCGCTTCTTATGAGAATCTAATGCCTGATGATCTGAGGTGGAGCTGAGGCGGTGATGCTAGCGCTGGGGAGTAGCTGCAAATACAGATTGTCATTAGCAGAGAGGTTTGACTGCACAGAGACCATAATAAATCAATTGTTTGCAGACTCATATCAAAACCCTATCAGTGAGTGGCAAGTGAAAACAAGCTCAGGGCTCCCACTGATTCTGCATTATGGTGAGTTGTATAATTATTTCATTAAATATTACAATGTAATAATAAATAGAAATAAAGTGCACAATAAATGTAATGCACTTGAATCATCCCAAAACCGTCCCCCACCCCCCAGTCCGTGGAAAAATTGTCTTCCACGAAACCGGTCCCTGGTACCAAAAAGCTTGGGGATCGCTGTGCTATAGCTCCTGTGTTTCTTCCTACCATAATCATCGCATATAACTACCATGATCATCCCAGCCTCTCTCCTTGATTATACCTGAGGAAACCCCGTTCAATTTAGCATCCCACACAACATTTAACACTATGCTTTGCTGAAAACAGGTTCTCCCGAAAGGGTTTTGGCATTTGTAGTAAATGCTCAAAGGATTGGTACAGAAAAAAAAAAAAAAATCATTCAATAGCCCAAAAAAGTTTGGTTTGGGTGGACATTAAAATGAGGAATGGCCTCTTTGGCAAGAGAAATGGGCATCAGAGATATGGGAACATATGTATATGTATAACTGATTCACTTTGTTATAAAGCAGAAACTAACACACCATTGTAAAGCAATTATACTCCAATAAAGATGTTAAAAAAAAATTTTTTTAATTAAAAAACAAAACAACATTGCCCTTACAAGTTACGGCCTAAACAAAAAGCCTGTCAAATGATGCTTGCTAACACTTTACAGATGTTTCTATGAGAGCATACATGTATGGTTTTTATGTTTTTAAGGTTGATTCTGTGGCTCTCTTTTGCAGGGGGTTATTAAAAAGCAGACCTAGAAATCCCTGTCAAGGCTGAGACAGTGATAATAATCCTTTCTATTTGTTTAGCATTTTGAGATTTACAAAGGATTTTCATAAATATTGCCTCAGTGATTTCCAAATAACCTTGTGATGGTAATAAGGTAGATGTTGTTTTCTTTGTTTTAGAGTGAAGTTCAGAGAGGGTAAAAGTGCTTTGCTTGGGGACCCACACTCAGTAGTGGTGGGTCTGCAGTATGAACTTAGTTATAATTCAAAATCTAGTACTCCTTCCACAACTGCCAGTTTGGTTTATTTTATTTTATTTTATTTATTGAAGTTTAGTTGATTTACAATATCATGTTAGTTTCAGGTGTACAACACAGTGATTCATTTGTATATATATAACTGAATGTGTGTGTGTGTGTATTCCTTTTCAGATTCTTTTCCCTTATATGTTGTTACAAAATATTGAGTATAGTTCCCTGTGCTATACAGCAGGTCCTTGTTGGTTATCTACTTTATATATAGTAGTGTGTATATGTTAATCCCAACTTCCGAATTTATCCTTCCCCCCACCCCCCTTTCCCCTTTGGTAACCATACATTTGTTTTCCATGCCTGTGAGCCTCTTTCTATTTTATAAATAAGTTCATTTTAAGATTCCACATATAAGTAATATCATATGATATTTGTCTTTCTCTGTCTGGCTTACTTCTGTTAGTGTGATAATCTCTAGGTCCATCCATGTTGTTGTAAATGGCGTTATTTCATTCTTTTTTGTGGCTGAGTAATATTCCATTGTATATATGTACCACATCTTCTTTATCCGGTCATTCATCGATGGACATTTAGGTTGCTTCCATGTCTTGGCTATTGTAAATAGTGCTGCAGTGAACATTTGGGGTGCATGTATCTTTCTGAATTATAGTTTTCTCTGGATATATGCCCAGGAGTGGGATTGTTAGATCATATGGTAGTTCTAATTTTAGTTTTTTAAGGAACCTCTATACTGTTCTCCATAGTGGTTGTACCAATATACGTTCCACTTTGGAATTAGGTATCAAGTGTGTACTAAAGCAGAGTAATTTATCCAGTAATACAAACCAGTTTAATTTTTAGAGTTGGGAGTAAAAGCTAAATCTCCCCAGTAAATGTCTCCCCAAATCTTCCAAGTTGGTGTAACATGTACACT